TTTATAATCCCTTATGCACTCATACGTAGTTTAATCTGTTAGACAGAAAGAATATTAATCTCATGTTCATAGTTCTCCATAGCCCATATTTCATTTATGATCACATCAGCCAAAGTCCAAATGATGCTTTTAATCTACATTAACAAACTGATAAACTGTGGCTGCAATTACGTTTATGCATTAAAATTACTGTCTTGTTACATGCAGTCAGAGTTGCTTCGTGTAAGCTCCATGCAAATTCTGGCTGGATATGGAAGAGCAACTAAAAGTGTTGTAGTTGTCCACTCTGTTATATCTTAGACATAGCTGAAAGGTCTATGTGATATGCCATGGTTTAAATCTCTGATCCTTAAATGTATCTGTTACATGGGATTATGTGACTCGGATATCTTCATGGAACAAAGACTACTTATCTTTTCAGTCAGACACACCTATTTAGTACCTCATGTGGTATACTGAAGGCTTGTCGTATTATGCTCCATATAACAATATCTATTATCTGTGATACTAAAATCATCAAAAGATCAATATAGTTCAGCAAGAGAATTGGTGTATAATCATATGCTAAAATCATCCTTTACTACAATTGTTGGGAAAGTTGGATGGTTGAATATCATTAACAGATGATTTGATAGTCACAAAGTTTCCTGCTTCTATTATGTCGATTTTTGTTTTTATCGACATTTGTGCTTAAATGAGTTTTTTATTTTTCAAGTACCACTTGGTAGTAAGAGTGTGTCATTGTTGCTTCACAATGTGCAGGAGGAAACAATCCGCGAGACCATTGAAGATGTGGGATTTCAGGCCACTTTGATTAAAGAAGAGATGAATGAAAAAGCCACCCAAGTCTGCCGGATCTGCATAAAAGGAATGACCTGCACCTCTTGCTCCACAACTGTTGAATCTGCTTTGCAGGTCATACCTGGTGTACAAAAGGCCCAAGTTGCATTAGCAACTGAAGAGGCCGAAGTGCATTATGATCCAAAAATCGTGAGCTACAATCAGTTTTTACAAACCATAGAAGATACTGGATTTGAAGGCATACTGATCAGTACGGGGGAAGATAGGAGCAAAATCCAGCTAAAAATTGATGGAGTACGAACTGACAATTCAATGAGAATGATTGAAAATTCCCTACAAGCACTCCCAGGGGTCCAAAATATAGATCTAGATATTGGGCTACAGAAATTTTCCCTTTCTTACAAACCAGATTTGACAGGACCTAGAAATTTTATTAGAGTAATTGAGTCAACTGGGTCAGGCCGTTACAAGGCGGTGATATTTCCTGAAGGAGGAGGAAGAGATGTCCATAGACAGGAGGAAATTAAACAATACTATAGATCCTTCCTATGGAGTTTGGTTTTTACAATTCCAGTATTCTTAACCTCCATGGTTCTTATGTATATCCCTGGAATTAAGCATGGATTGGATACCAAAGTGGTCAATATGCTGACTATTGGAGAGCTTTTGAGGTGGATACTATCTACTCCAGTGCAGTTCATCATTGGCCGACGATTCTACACTGGTTCTTACAAAGCATTGCGACATGGCTCTGCAAATATGGACGTCTTGATCGCCTTGGGAACAAATGCAGCCTACTTCTATTCGGTCTACTCTGTGTTGAGAGCTGCTAGTTCTCCAACTTTTAAGGCCACTGATTTTTTTGAGACTAGCTCAATGCTCATTTCATTCATTCTGCTGGGCAAGTATCTGGAGGTTTTGGCCAAGGGGAAAACATCTGAGGCCATTGCCAAGCTTATGGATTTAGCTCCTGGGACAGCAACTTTGCTAACCCTTGACGATGAAGGCAATGTCATAAACGAGGAGGAAATAGATAGTCGTTTGATACAAAAGAATGATATTATTAAAATCATTCCTGGGGCAAAAGTAGCTTCAGATGGTTTTGTCATTTGGGGACAAAGCTATGTGAATGAGAGCATGATAACAGGAGAGTCTCGACCTGTGGCAAAGAGGAAGGGCGACACGGTGATTGGAGGAACTGTGAATGATAATGGGGTCTTACATATTAAGGCCACACGGGTTGGGTCGGAGAGTGCTCTTTCACAGATTGTTCGACTAGTTGAATCTGCACAAATGGCTAAAGCTCCTGTGCAGAAATTTGCTGACCGTATTTCCAAATTCTTTGTGCCACTCGTAAGGATATACATGATTTCTACACCCTATATGTCATTTGTAGATTATTGTTAATTGTACTAACAAGTACATGTGCTTATGAGTGAGATATTTGGCATCTGTTCGCAATTGGTTTTCCTTTGCAGGTTATATTTCTCTCCTTTTCCACTTGGCTTGCCTGGTTTTTATCTGGAAAGTTGAATGGTTATCCGAAATCTTGGATACCTTCTTCCATGGATAGCTTTCAGCTTGCACTCCAGTTTGGCATCTCTGTCATGGTCATAGCCTGTCCATGCGCGCTTGGCCTTGCAACTCCCACTGCTGTTATGGTTGGTACGGGTGTTGGTGCTTCTCAAGGTATCCTGATCAAAGGGGGTCAGGCACTAGAAAGTGCACATAAGGTTAGAACGTGATAATTACTTGAAAACTGCAATTTCCGTTTTGCCGGTTAACCAGAAAAACAAAGAGCACTCTGAATTCAAAACATTATATACAATAATTTCCGGATAAGAAAATATAAATGCTGGTATATTTTGTAGGTCAATTGCATTGTGTTTGATAAGACTGGGACCCTCACTATAGGCAAGCCAGTGGTAGTGAACACGAGGCTTTTGAAAAATATGGTGCTTCGAGACTTTTATGAACTTGCTGCTGCTGCTGAGGTAAATATTTCTGAACCATCAGCACTTTCTAATTTTAGATAATTTCATATGCAAGAGCACCAAACCACGTATTTGGCACTAGAAAGATCCTTAATGGTTTTCTAGGATTTTGGACTGAAGAATTGGTTATCAGTGGTACTTCTGACAAACCAAAAATTGGTTGTCATATTTGGACAATCCGTTGAGTGGAACATGCCTGCAATAAATATATATTTTTTTCAACATATTAAACAACATTTCTTCCTTATTACTTCACGAATATTATTGGTGCATTTCCCTTGTATTAGGCTAACAGTGAGCACCCCTTAGCTAAGGCCATTGTTGAGTATGCCAAGAAATTTAGAGAAGACGGAGAGAATCTTGTCTGGCCAGAAGCTCGAGACTTTGATTCCATAACTGGCCACGGGGTGAAAGCTGTTGTTCGGAACAAGGAGATAATTGTGGGAAACAAGAGCTTGATGTTGGATCAAAAAATTACCATTCCAGTTGATGCTGAAGAAATACTAGCTGAAACTGAAGGTTTGGCTCAAACTGGGATTCTTGTAGCTATGGATGGGGAAGTGGTTGGAGTTCTAGCCATATCTGATCCATTGAAGCCTAGTGCGCATGAAGTCATTTCCATCCTTAAGTCTATGAATGTCGAGAGTATAATGGTGACAGGTGACAACTGGGGAACTGCAAATTCCATTGCCAAGGAAGTTGGAATTGACACTGTTATTGCAGAAGCCAAACCTGAGCATAAAGCCAAGAAAGTGAAGGAACTACAGGTAGGAATTTTCAAATTCGTTTAATGTCATATTTCGTAACTGGCTCAGGTGTGTCTATGCCTCAGCCAAATCATCATACTAACACTAATGCTTCATAGTGATAATGCATAATGCCAACATATACCAATTTTACTCTTGTCACGCTGCAAATATGAACCTATGATCCACAGGCTTCAGGCTGTACCGTGGCAATGGTAGGGGATGGGATCAATGACTCACCAGCACTTGTGGCTGCAGACGTTGGCATGGCAATTGGTGCGGGCACAGACATTGCCATTGAGGCAGCTGACATTGTTCTCATGAAGAGCAATTTGGAGGATGTGATAACTGCTATAGACCTATCCAGGAAAACCTTTTCCCGAATCCGACTGAATTACATTTGGGCATTGGGATATAATCTCCTTGGGATCCCGATCGCTGCAGGGGCCCTTTTCCCATCCACCGGATTCCGGTTACCCCCATGGATTGCCGGAGCTGCTATGGCAGCATCTTCAGTGAGTGTTGTTTGCTGCTCTCTCTTGTTGAAATATTACAGGAGACCCAAAAAGCTGGACACACTTGAGATAGGAGGAATAACTGTTGAGTGATGATGATGGTGGTGAAATATGCCTATTTGTGTATAGCTTTGCAGGACTAGAATTGGCTTGGCAATAAGTTTAGACTGTTCAGTAAATAGGTTGATGAAGTATAAAATGTTCATAACGGTTGCTTGCTATGCCTTGTACACATAATCGTTATCAATTGTGCTAGTAGGATCCATATAAAGTAAGGGTATCTTATTTTGAAGGATAAGGTTTTAGAACTAATAAAAATACTATATACAACTGTGGATTTGATTTAATATATTTATACTCATTGATAATAAAAATATAATATAGTGAAATAATAAATTTTATGTGTTTTTGCTGGTTAAATAATAAATAAATTTTATGTGAGTCACGTTTTAGTAGACAAAAATAAGTAATTGGGTCGTATTTGGATTGGTGATAGGTGATGACCTGGGCCTATGTAGTTCCCTTTCGTGTCAAGCACTAGGATTGGGCCTTCAGAAGCCCAAGTGTTAGGGTCAAGATATGGGTTGAATCTAACCAAGTCTGAGATGAAGCCCAGTGTATAATTGAGACAAATTTGGAGGTGGACCTCCCTTACGGACTTATTTAGACTTTTGTTATGAAATCCGTTTTTTGTCAAGTATATCAAACTATCCCTTTCTTATGTAAGTGACGTAAAATTAAAAATTAAAAATTTCTAAATTTTAGTAATTTGACTAACATTAAAAAATTTTCTCTCTCACATTTAAAATAAAAAATAATATTTAAATACAAAAAAAATTTTCATTTAAACACAAAAAATAGTACCATTTAAACACAAAAAAATAGTAACATTTAAACATTANTAAAAAATTTTCTCTCTCACATTTAAAATAAAAAATAATATTTAAATACAAAAAAAAATTTCATTTAAACACAAAAAATAGTACCATTTAAACACAAAAAAATAGTAACATTTAAACATAAAAAAAAAACATTCAATATTCATATTTTAAAAAAAATAACAATAGTAATATATTCAACAAAAATAATAACATGCTTTACAAAAAAAATTACATTCTTAATAAAAACAATAACATGCTCAACAAAAGAAACTAGTAATATGGAACATTGAATAAAATTGAAAATAAAAATAATAGTATTCAAATTCATAATCAGAGAAAGAAACCTCCAATTCTTCGGCATCCAAAAAAATAACACCGAAAAATTAATAACATACTTAATAAAAAAAAGTAATATGAACAATTAGAAAACATAATAACATGATCAACAAAAACGTAGTAACATGAAACATTAAAAAAAATTAGGAATTATTTATCAAAAAAATAAAAATAAAATTGGGAATCAAACTAATAACACATTAAACAAGTTTTTTAACATTTTTTTTTTAAAACCAACGACATAGAAGTTTATGATGACTAGAAATGCGGCAATATAGTAGTTGTTGATGATGTTTCAAAATTTACTGATTTTAATGCTATAGAGGAAAAAATGATATCCAAAGAATAAATTTGTTATAATCTTTTTCTATGGAGAGAAAAGAGTATAAATTTGAATTTCAATTTATGAGTATAAATTTTAATTTCATTTATAAGTGAATTAAAGGATAATAATTTCTAATTTAAGAAATTAATTTAAAGTTACTTTCAAAGGTTTTAAGATTTTTATAATTGAATAGAATAACATTGTTAAAAGGTATTTTTGAAATTTAAAAAAAAATAGTAGGCTTAAGTACTTATTAGTAAAATAAAAAACGGACTTATCACCAAATAAATTTTCTTGACGGACTTAAGTTATTATATATTCACTATAATGAATATATAAACAAGTTGTATCGTATATTTTTTTTATTGAACTCATATCTCATTNCCCCCCCACACATTTTAATTGTACCAACTACGCATCAACATTACCCCCAACAAAAAAAAAATATCATATCAATTGGGGAATCTCTGTATATATGTATATATATACAAATATACATTACCCCCAATCATATTTGTATATTAACGATACTCTGTGAATAAAATTATTGTACACTGAATTATTACATTGAAATGTGTGTTAGAGTGTGTGTATGTATGTGTAGTTGTGTGTTGTGAAGTGTGTGTGTTGAATTTTTGAAATTTGGGAGAAAAATATATATTGAGTGTGTGAAATTTTGAGGAAAAAATATATATTTCATAAGTTTAAACACTTATTTAATTTATTATATAGATATGGCTGGTCCATCAAAATCACACCAAAAAGTAAAATGACACTGATAAAAACAAACCCAGTTGAAAAAAAAAAGGGAGAGAGAGATAAAAAGCATAGAAGATGGCAGCAACATGGATGTCTTAGTCTTATGTTCCATCATTATCATATTTCCCTTCCTCATTTTGTCTTCCTGGATTTTACAAAAAATAAAGGTAAAGTCAAAGAAAGTGACATATTTTAGTTGTTGGTGATTAAATTAAAGTCTAATTGGAATGACAAATATAACATTTGAAGAGAAAAAAATTTCTCAAATCCTCTTTTTATAAAACTAAATGCAAAATGTACTTCAAAATTGATTACATAAATATAACACAAAACCTAAATGACAAGAATTTCGGACAATAACTTAATACAAACTTGAATCAATTTTTCAAACCATAGTATACAAAAAGAAAAATCTAAGATTCAAAATAGTGACCACGTTATAGAATTAGAAAAGTTTGTGAATACAAAATGTGAAGGTTAGCTAGGAAACCGTTCAAAACCAAGATAATAAGAATACCCCATAATAGAATGTCAGAAGAAAAACAACACGAGTGATTAAACCAACCAAAACAACATCCCAAATCATACGAGATATACTTGAAATTCTCCCCATTACTTTACCAAACAATGATTTGTATATTCAATTAATTCCATCTGCAACTGACTCACTTTATGCTTTGCTTTATTTCTTCCTTCTGTCCCTCCAGACACAGGAAGCAATTGAAAGATTTGAAAACACAAAAAAGTGGAAAATACATGTTTTAAGCTATTACTATGTGCTCCTTGACCAGATTTGACATATCTCAAGCTTTGAACCCTGAAAAAATAGCATCAATGNTTGGAGGAAAAAATATATATTTCATAAGTTTAAACACTTATTTAATTTATTATATAGATATGGCTGGTCCATCAAAATCACACCAAAAAGTAAAATGACACTGATAAAAACAAACCCAGTTGAAAAAAAAAAGGGAGAGAGAGATAAAAAGCATAGAAGATGGCAGCAACATGGATGTCTTAGTCTTATGTTCCATCATTATCATATTTCCCTTCCTCATTTTGTCTTCCTGTATTTTACGAAAAATAAAAGTAAAGTCAAAGAAAGTGACATATTTTAGTTGTTGGTGATTAAATTAAAGTCTAATTGGAATGACAAATATAATATTTGAAGAGAAAAAAATTTCTCAAATCCTCTTTTTATAAAACTAAATGCAAAATGTACTTAAAAATTGATTACATAAATATAACACAAAACCTAAATGACAAGAATTTCGGACAATAACTTAATACAAACTTGAATCAATTTTTCGAACCATAATATACAAAAAGAAAAATCTAAGATTCAAAATAGTGACCACGTTATAGAATTAGAAAAGTTTGTGAATACAAAATGTGAAGGTTAGCTAGAAAATCGTTCAAAACCAAGATAATAAGAATACCCCATAATAGAATGTCAGAAGAAAAACAACGCGAGTGATTAAACCAACCAAAACAACATCCCAAATCATACGAGATATACTTGAAATTCTCCCCATTACTTTACCAAACAATGATTTGTATATTCAATTAATTCCATCTGCAACTGACTCACTTTATGCTTTGCTTTATTTCTTCCTTCTGTCCCTCCAGATACAGGAAGCAATTGAAAGATTTGAAAACACAAAAAAGTGGAAAATACCTGTTTTAAGCTATTACTATGTGCTCCTTGACCAGATTTGACATATCTCAAGCTTTGAACCCTGAAAAAATAACATCAATCNTGTTTTAAGCTATTACTATGTGCTCCTTGACCAGATTTGACATATCTCAAGCTTTGAACCCTGAAAAAATAGCATCAATGCTTTTAGATTGTCAAATTATACATGGGAATAGAGATTTGAAGCATTATTAGTATCCCAACGGTCCATATAAATTGAGAGTTTGCAACATTCACAATTACATGGAATATTAATGAATTTATTAACAAAAACTCATTTATTATCAAAGGAAGATCAAAGGAGGTAGGACATGCTTGAAATTATAACAATAGTAGAGGATAAAATAGGAATTCAAAAAATTTTCTTGTTAAGTTACATTTAGAAAGTAGTATAAATATAAATATAGATATATGATTATATACAACATTAATTCATTGAATTTAATCTAATATTGAATACAAATATAAACATAAATTTAAACTCATTGTTTCCAATTTAGCAGTCCTCAAATTTACAAAAAGAATTAAAAATCTAATAATATCTCAAGATTTTGAATTCTTTTTATACATAAATGAGTTCAGCCTAAATAATACATATGGTGCTAAACTCAATGCAATTCATTTACACCCCTAAATATGGATTTTTTTTCTTGGGAGTTCTTACTTGGCCTAAAGCAATAAACAAGAAAAAGGGGGTCCTTAAATGCAATAGTAAATAATTGAATAGCCAAATTTTATTTTTCTATCTATTTTTTGTACCTTAACAAGAATTATTATTTTCATAAGAAGTGATTTTACTTTGAGTAAATGTCGTAAATTATCTCTTGAACTATGATCTTTCTTCTAAATTGCTCCACTTTTAATTATCTCAATTTGACCCCTAAACTATTTAATTTATTTTAATATGTCTTTTTTTAATTAAGATTAACTATTAAATAAGATAAATTAATAGTTAATTAACAGTTAATATTTATAAAATTTATTAGTTAATCTTAATGACAGAAATTAATTGAAATAAATTATATAACTCAGGAGATAACTTAGGATAATTAAAAGTTTAGGGGATAATTTAAAATACAACCATAGTTTTGGGGTTTTTGTGTTTTTTTTTTTTGGGGGGAGAGGGGGAGTTATGAGATTAGCTTTTTACTTGTTTTCTCACAGAGCCAAACTCGACGCGCAGTTTCTATTTTAACCATTTGAAGGACTCGTAATCGTTGTGGTCGCTCAACTCTCTCTCTCTCTCTCTCTCACACACACACACACACACACACACAGAGTGAAGCTCACATATATGNCCATTTGAAGGCCTCGTAATCGTTGTGGTCGCTCAACTCTCTCTCTCTCTCTCTCTCTCACACACACACACACACAGAGTGAAGCTCACACATATATACATCTGCATTCTTGTCTTCTCTCTCTGCTTCTCCTCTTTTGACTCCACGTGACCTCCCCTTTCCTTACGTATACCGACAACTCTCTCTCTCTCTCTCCGTTATAAGTATCGCAGTCGCAGTGCTTGTGAGTGCGTGTGTTACAGATATCGATGCTTTCTTCGCAGGTAGGAAGGACTCTAATAAAACCTCGCCGCGGGTTTGTTGAAGATGGTGGAAATCCAAACATCTTAGCTTGAAAACAGGTACTTTTTACGTACTTATTTTTGTAAATATCTACACCCTCTGAAGCGCTAGCTCTTAAAGACAGCATTTCCTGCTTTTTAATTAATTTTTCTAAGCTTTATTTTGGTCTCTTTCCCATGTCATTTGTGAAAAAAGCTTCAAATTTTAGCGTAAATATTTTGTGATCTATCATGTACAGAGATTAACTCTGAAATATAGAACAAAGTCTGCCATTTCTGAGCTCCATTTTTTCTTCTAGTTTTGTTAAATTACTCTGAAGAATCCCATTGAACATTGTCGATTTGGTTATGTTGAAGCTGTTTAATCTTGCTTATGTTAGCATTTATTTGTTAATTATTCGTTTATAGGTGGTCTAAACTTGGTGTCTTTTGTTCAGAGTAAAGGGTTTGTGGATTTTCCTCTTCTAACTTTGTTTTGAAGACCTTTTCTGGGTATGGATGCACTGTTTAGGACTTTAATGGCCGCGGTGTATGTTTGGTGAATCAGATTTGAGTGAAGTTGCTGTGTCTTTAGCGACACTCAAAGGACCTTTACCTTCAAGTATGTCTTATTAGCTTTTCATTTTTTTTTTTTGGCAAAAATCTTTAATTTTTAGATCTATAGCACATGGTTCTGAGAAAGTGTTGACCCGTTTTTTTGCTTTCTAAATCAAACTTGTGGGCATAGTTTATTTAAGGTTTCTTTGCACATTTCCTTTAAAATATTTGCAAAATATCGTACTATCAATTGGTGAAAATAAAGAAATAATTTGAATTGGAAGAATACAATAGAAAATGAGACTTTCTAGATTAGTTTTTATCTAGTTTATGATCTTGAAGGATTGGCACTTTGTTTGTTTCTATATGAAATCTGTTGGGTTTCGGTACCATCTTTACATGTGGGCCAAATGTGCTAATCCTGTTCAACTTGCATTATTTGTTAATTATAAATTGAGCTTGTGATTTGAGCAACAGTCTCATTTCTGTCTTAGATCTGTTAACATGCAGCTAAGAATGTGCCTATTTATTAATGTCTGCTGCATATGATTTTACTTGCGAAAACTTCAAATGCTCCTTTTCTGGTGCACCTTTCATGTGTTGTTACACTCACTTTAGAATTCTGGAAACTTCAATTCTCAGTTGTTCAGACTTGTTTAAGATTGTGGGATTTTATCTGCCAATTTCTTTTTGTGAATGTGCACTGGATCTTTGAACTCTGTGGGGCCCTGCTTTGAGATTACATTGTGAAGTTGATCTGCTTTAGGCTTGTAAAGTTTAGGAGCTGGGTCCTCTGAGAACTCTTGTAGAGGTTGTGACAGACATTAGTGGGCACAGCCTTAGAGGTTGGTTTGTCCATCGGGTGTTCAAAGAATATCTAAAAGTAGATACAGTTACTGTGCTTCCTTTTTTTTTTTTTTTTGTGTGTGTGTGTGTTTTAACAGTTCTGCAAATTTCTCTTCNTTGTGACAGACATTAGTGGGCACAGCCTTAGAGGTTGGTTTGTCCATCGGGTGTTCAGAGAATATCTAAAAGTAGATACAGTTACTGTGCTTCCTTTTTTTTTGTGTGTGTGTGTTTTAACAGTTCTGCAAATTTCTCTTCCCTTTAAATGACTAGAATTCAGCAATTAGCATTTTTCTTGTAATCAAATATATGCTTAGCTAAAAAATTTATGTAGCTTTGTACATTTCATCTCAATTTTTTTGAAAGATGCCTGTGACTACAAAGTAGATCTATAGCCTGCCCATTTGGAAACTATAATCCGGTGGAGATATGGGTCCTATTANCTTAGCTAAAAAATTTATGTAGCTTTGTACATTTCATCTCAATTTTTTTGAAAGATGTCTGTGACTACAAAGTAGATCTATAGCCTGCCCATTTGGAAACTATAATCCGTTGGAGATATGGGTCCTATTAACCAAGGGAAGTGGTTGTGATTGGTATGCTAACATTGTATTACTGTTGAGGTCATATAACTTACAGGGCATTGTTGCCAACCTTCCGGAGTAATTCTAAAATCAATCTTTTCACATTGCCCAATTATATTTCTTCTAGCTAAGACTTTCTCTTACATTACTTATGCTTTCTAGAGTCTTACCTGCAATATCAATCAACTTGGTGGTCCTGCCTTGTTCAAATTCACTTTATTTGTTAATGTGTCCATTCTTTTATCATGGAAATGTTCCCCCGTGAACACGTAGAATAGATTTACTGCTCAATTCTCAAATACTAAATACACAGTCACATGTACTTTCAAGTGCTCAGTTTTAATTGTCTTATGACTTACCTTGATATGACTACCTCTCACTATTGTTATCTTGTTAGACCTGTACCTTTCTCTGATTAATTATGATCAGCACTCTCTCTTTCGCTTATGTACATTAATCAAGAATTTATTTGCTATCTAAAAATTTCATCCCTGTTATAGTCTTTCTTTGACCAGGACAATCTAAAATTTATTCTTCCATTTTAGGTTCCTGTAATTTATCTTTCATCTTTGGGGAGTTCAGGCTTCTTTGACAACTCACCATTGAAATGACTATGAGCAACCTTAAGCTAGGGGTGGATGTGGTTAGTGCCCACAACCTTCTGCCGAAAGATGGGCAGGGTTCATCCAGTGCTTTTGTAGAACTCTGCTTCGATGGTCAGAGATTCCGTACCACTATCAAGGAGAAGGATCTCCACCCTGTTTGGGATGAGAGCTTCAACTTCAACATCTCTGACCCTTACAACCTCCACAATCTCACTTTGGATGCCTACATCTACAATAATGTCAAAGCCACCCACTCCAGGTCCTTCCTAGGGAAGATTTCCCTGAGTGGGACTTCATTTGTTCCCTACTCTGATGCTGTTGTCTTGCACTACCCTCTGGAAAAGCGTGGGATCTTCTCACGTGTAAGAGGAGAGCTCGGCCTTAAGGTTTATATTACAGATGACCCTTCCTTAAAGTCATCTATCCCTTTTCCTGCAGCAGAGAACACTCAAGTCGACACCCAATCTGTTCAAAATCCAGCCCCAAACACTTTTCATAATGTGATACACGAAGCAAGACACACTTTCCATCATCTCCCAAACCCTAATCACTCTCAACAGCAGCGTAACACTTCTGCAGTTGCAGTGCCCCAACAGATGGTGAAATATGGGGTCAACGAGATGAAAGCTGAACCACAGCCTCCAAAGCTCGTCCGTATGTACTCAGCATCATCAGCGCAACCTGTTGATTATGCTCTTAAGGAGACAAGCCCATTCCTTGGTGGGGGACAGGTTGTGGGTGGTCGTGTTATTCATGCAGACAAGACTGCATGTACTTATGATCTCGTTGAACGGATGCACTTCCTCTTTGTTCGAGTTGTCAAGGCTCACGAGCTTCCTGCCATGGATGTTACGGGGAGTCTTGATCCATATGTTGAGGTGAGAATTGGAAATTATAAAGGTGTTACAAAGCATCTAGAGAAACAACAAAACCCAGTGTGGAATGTGGTGTTTGCCTTCTCAAGGGAACGAATGCAAGCATCTGTACTAGAAGTAGTAGTTAAGGACAAAGATCTGGTGAAAGATGACTTTGTTGGCTTTGTGAGGTTTGATCTCAATGAAGTTCCTATGCGTGTTCCACCGGATAGTCCACTGGCTCCACAATGGTACCGACTTGAGGATAAAAAGGGAGAGAAGATAAAGGGTGAGCTGATGCTTGCTGTCTGGATTGGCACCCAAGCAGATGAGGCATTTCCTGATGCATGGCATTCTGATGCTGCTACCCCCATTGACAGCTCAGCAGCAGCATCCTCACTAATACGTTCAAAGGTTTATCATGCACCACGGCTTTGGTATGTCCGTGTAAATGTTGTCGAGGCGCAGGACTTGGTTCCAACAGAGAAGAATCATTTCCCGGACGCATACGTAAAGGCACAAATAGGAAATCAAGTCCTGAAAACAAAGACAGTTCAGGCTCGGGCATTTAACCCGCTCTGGAATGAAGATCTTTTGTTTGTTGCTGCTGAACCATTTGAAGATCATCTTATCCTCACTGTTGAGGATCGTGTGGCTCCAGGCAAAGACGAGATCTTGGGAAGGGTCATTATACCGTTGAGTCTTGTGGAGAAGCGTGCTGATGATCGCATCATCCATTCTCGTTGGTTTAACCTTGAAAAGCCAGTTGCAGTGGACGTGGATCAACTGAAGAAGGAGAAGTTTTCCAGCAAGCTACATCTCCGAGTCTGTCTAGATGGAGGTTACCATGTTCTTGATGAGTCTACTCACTACAGCAGTGATCTTCGTCCCACAGCAAAACAGCTCTGGAAGCCATCAATTGGGGTTTTGGAACTTGGCATCTTAAATGCTGTGGGGCTCCACCCCATGAAAACAAGAGATGGGAAGGGCACATCAGATACATACTGTGTGGCAAAGTATGGTCACAAATGGGTCCGAACTCGCACCATTGTTGACAACCTCTCTCCAAAGTACAATGAGCAATACACTTGGGAGGTTTTTGATCCGGCAACTGTACTCACTGTTGGCGTTTTTGACAACAGTCAGCTTGGAGACAAGGGTTCAATCGGTAATAAGGACCTGAAGATTGGGAAGGTTCGAATTCGTATTTCCACACTGGAAACAGGCCGTATTTATACCCACTCTTATCCATTGCTAGTCCTTCACGCTACAGGAGTTAAGAAAATGGGAGAGCTGCATTTGGCCATACGATTTTCGTGCACATCTTTCGCTAACATGCTCTGTGTATACTCGCGGCCATTGTTACCAAAAATGCACTATGTTAGGCCCTTTACTGTAATGCAACTTGACATGCTGCGGCACCAGGCTGTCAACATAGTGGCAATGCGACTAGGTCGCGCAGAGCCACCACTTAGAAAGGAGGTGGTGGAATACATGTCCGATGTGGACTCACACCTGTGGAGCATGCGCCGGAGCAAGGCCAATTTCTTCCGCCTAATGTCGATTTTCTCGGGACTATTCTCAGTTGGGAAATGGTTTGGGGATGTCTGCATGTGGAAGAACCCGATCACAACAGTGCTCGTGCATGTGCTTTATATTATTCTTGTTTGCTTCCCGGAACTGATTTTGCCTACAATTTTCCTCTACATGTTTCTAATAGGAATCTGGAACTTCAGGTACCGACCCAGGTACCCTCCCCACATGAACACAAAGATCTCACAAGCTGAGGTGGCACACCCTGATGAACTTGATGAGGAGTTTGACACATTCCCAACGAGTCGGAGCCCTGATCTGGTCAGACTGAGGTATGATCGTCTAAGAAGCGTGGCTGGTCGGATTCAGACTGTTGTGGGTGACATTGCAACGCAGGGGGAGCGTTTCCAGTCACTGTTAAGCTGGAGAGACCCTCGTGCTACAGCTATCTTCGTCACATTCTCCCTCATAGCTGCACTGGTGTTGTATGTGACTCCCTTCCTGGTGATTGCAGCCTTGGCCGGAATCTATGTAATGAGGCATCCAAGATTTCGTTATCGTTTGCCATCAGTGCCTATCAACTTTTTCCGTCGGCTGCCAGCTAGGACGGATAGTTTATTGTAAATTAGTGACTAGCTGTTGCTGACAAGGTAATGAGGATTTGGTATATGCTGTTCAATCTTTAGATTGTAACATAAATGTTTCCTTTCTGTTTCCCAAGTACTCTGTCTTGGCCTTGGAAGTAGTCAGTTATTAGATATCCAAGACCTCAAATAATTCCCATGTGACCTTTTTTATAAGCTGATGTATGCTTAATAAGCTCTGTTGGATTCCCCTCGGCCCCCCTTTCTCTCTTCCCCTTGTAGAAGCAGTTACAGAGAATTGCATCTCAAGGGATTTAAAATTCCAGGTAAAAATGATCCCTTTTGCTGAATGTATTAACTGAAGTTTCATGGTATCTGATTTTTATTTAAGTAGTGAATTTGAACAGAACTTGTGTTGTATGATCCAACATCCGTTAAATAGAGTTTAGATGTGTATATATGCATTCTTGAGCACCTTTTCTTTATAAGTCGGTTTTCAAGGATGAGTTTTAGCCACGAGTTCATATTTCTTTCTTTTTTTTTTGAACCAACAATCAGTTCATATTTCATATGATAAATAATGAAGATCTAGAGTCAAGCCTTAACACCAGCATCATGGTCTTCCCCAATCTTGGGAACAAAGTATAGAACCATAACCTAACTTTGCAATTTGTACTCGGAGGCAGCTCAGAAGACAGCCTGTTGTTATGGTGGGTGGAAGGGCGACCTTCATGTGGCTTAATCGGGCCAACCCATCTGGGTAGCCGGCCAAAAACCACAGCCCATAACCGTAGTTTGCTGACCGGCTCAGGGCCCGATGGACCACCGAGCTAACGGGCCATTTGCACCCTACATAGGCTTACGGCCAACACGTTCGAAGGATCAATACGTGCATACCAGTAACCCATATGAAGAAGAAGGGTGTTAAAGTAATCCAATACACCTCTAATCTATGTTTTCGTAACCTTATTATATAACTCAAAAATTCCAACATATAATTATTAAGGTTCTGTCTACAAATACAACCCAACGTGCCCACAAACCTGAAGGCAACTCATTGTACTACGTGCATTCATGTTCATAAACCCTCTTCTCTAAGTCCACAACACAACCACCCTTCAGTAGAAAACCACGAGCAAAGCTCCACCAAGAAAATGTCTTCTTTTTTCCACCCTAAAAATGGCAATGTCTCTGTCCAAGAAGAAATCTAGACTACCCAAAAGAGCAGAAGCCAAACAACTAGGCTTGATTGATCTAATCTTACCAAAATTTCTCTTCCGATTGCCCGTCGCACTGCTTCTCTTGATCCTTATCTACCTATGGTCTTCCTCGACCACCATTATTTCCGGCAACATTGTTCATGTCTGTGTCTCTTCAAGGAAGCTCACCAACCTCTATTGCCTCTCTGCTGGTACCCAACCCAACTTTGAACTTCCAATTCCACTTCTGAATGATAGTTCCACTAACGAAGTTGCCGGTCTTGTTCATGAAAATCCACTGGAAAACAGCATTGAAAAGTATAGAGATGAGGAGCTGAAAAATGCTGTCAAGGTCATAAAAGAGCAGCTGCAAGAGCATCGATCATGGCAGTCGAATAAAAAACAAGCAAGTTGTGATGGGAGGGGCATATATGTGTATGAATTGCCACCGAAGTTCAATAAAGATTTGGTGGCTCAATGCGGTAACATGATTCCATGGATGGATTTCTGTAAATATTTCAGCAATGAGGCCTTGGGGGAGCCAATACCGGAGATTGGAAAATGCTGGTACCAGACTCATCAGTACTCATTGGAGCCAATCTTTCATGCTCGGGTTTTGAAGCATCCTTGCAGGGTGTATAATGAAAATGAGGCAAAGCTGTTCTATGTACCATTTTATGGTGGACTTGATATCCTGAGATGGCATTTCAAGAATGTGTCAAATGAAATTAAGGACACTTCGGGATTAGAACTTCTGAATTGGCTTGAATCACAGAGACACTGGAATCGAAATTCGGGTAAGGATCATGTGTTTGTTTTGGGAAAAATTTCTTGGGATTTCAGGAGGAAGAACAATTCATCGTGGGGTACTAGATTGTTGGAGCTTGATCAAATGCAAAACCCAATAAAGCTCTTGATTGAAAGACAGCCATGGCATGTTAATGACATTGGCATTCCACATCCAACCCATTTCCATCCTCGTACAGACGATGATATTGTCTCCTGGCAATCGAAGATAATGGGATCAAATCGGAGAAACCTCGTGAGCTTTGCCGGGGCTGCTCGTCCCGATACACCAGAGAACATAAGGTCATTACTTATCAAACAGTGCACTTCAATGGATCACAACAACACAAATTGCAGGTTTCTGGATTGCAGTTTAGGTGGTTGTGATCAACCCGAGTCTGTAATAAACCTATTCACAGCGTCTGAATTCTGCCTACAGCCTCCTGGTGATAGTCCAACGAGAAAATCAGTATTCGATTCTCTCATTTCTGGGTGCATTCCGGTACTGTTTGATCCTTTCACGGCTTACTATCAATATCCATGGCATTTACCTGAGGATCATGAGAAATATTCAGTGTTTATAGATCAGGAAGAGGTGAGAAACATGAAGGTGAATGTGGTGGAGAGGCTCATGAAGGTTCCTTTAAAGGAGAGAGAAGATTTGAGGAGATATATAGTATATGAGCTATTGCCTGGGTTGGTTTATGGAGACCCAAGTTCAGAGCTTGATAAGTTTCAGGATGCATTTTCTATTGCCATAAACAGTTTGCTTGAAAGAGTGAGCAGATTGGAATGACTTTTTTTTATGATGGTGCTGATCCATACATGCTGATTTATTTGTTAATTACTTTCAATTGTAAGCACAAATCATTTTATTCTTTTTCTTATATAATCATCAATCCGAATTGATAGTGAAACTCTCTGATACAATTTTGTTTTATTTCTTTGGGTTCTACTGTTCATGACTTGTATTCACACTCACGCATCTTGTACTGGTGTGACATGCAGCATACTGGGTACGCCTTGGGTGAAATTCTTTGATTATGCTCTATTGAGCGATGACATTATCATCACGGATCCAGTAATTGCAAAGTCCTATCTTGAAGTTATAGAAGAGTGTAAATTCACCAAATCAAAAGAAAAGTCCTTCATCTCTACCATGAGTGCTCTAGAATTTGCTAAGAATAGATCATTTGCAATTAATAATTCAAGTGATGACGGGTGCAGTGGTAGGTNAGTTATAGAAGAGTGTAAATTCACCAAATCAAAAGAAAAGTCCTTCATCTCTACCATGAGTGCTCTAGAATTTGCTAAGAATAGATCATTTGCAATTAATAATTCAAGTGATGACGGGTGCAGTGGTCCGAGATGAGCCCATATATGTATAAGGTCGATATGATGAACATTTATTTTTGAAGTCATATTTATTCATTAAATTAATTTCAGTAGTATAATCTTTTCTATTTAGTATCAACTTGAAAATGAANATAAACCCACGTGGCAATGATATGAAGCACACACGTCACACGTGTATAGTCGCATCTTATCAACCCACATAGGTTTGACTCTTTGAGCCTTGCCGAGTATCACTTTCTCTCTACATGTCCATCTATTTAAGCTGTTCTATCTGTTCTTCGGCTCGCGTTCTCATCCGAAGAAATCTGAGTGTAAGAAAGCAATTGTTTTGGATTTCCAGGCAAACCCAATTCAATTACTTCAATACTCCTTCGATTCCCTTGTTTTGTCAGCCAATCAAAACAGGGTTTTTTCCTTCTTCATCTTCTTCTGATAATTTTAAGGGGTCTGTGTTGTTGGGTTTGAGATCAGAACACACAATGGCCAGCCAATCATCCCAGCCGCAATCAGTCCACGAGTTCACTGTCAAGGTTGGTTACCTTTTCATATCTTCATTTGAGTCTTCATCCTATAGCTATTCTTGCAAGATGTAGCTTACTTGTACATGTATGTATGCATTATGTTTCTCAGTTGATAAGCTTGTGTTTTTTGGTCTTGAATGAGTTTAGGTTTCAGACAATTTCTACTTTAGGACGTGGTGAATGTTGAATTGCAACTAGTTATCAAAAAACAGAAAAAAAAATGTCAGATTGGAGACGCCGTTAATCTCAGAAGTTGATTCGATTCCCCTTTGACTGGATCTCTCTATGTAGTGGTCAGCATTCTAGAAGCTTCGCCTAAGTTCTGGCCATAGACTTTGTCTTTCCGGCTGGGTTGTTGTTATTGGCCTTGTAGGTAGTCCTTGTTGGATAGTCTTAGGTTATTTCAATTGAGAGTCCTGTGTCTTATCTAGACTGCTGGCAGCCTTAGCTAGAGCCGGAACGATTTTGAGTCATTCCGAAAACCCCTCCTTGGATCCTAGGAACGAGGATTTACGGTGCTTTAGAACATCATTTTGATCCCAAGATTTCTGGTCCCTTTTGTATTTCTAAATCTCACATTTGAATATGACTATCCAAGAGGACCCTATTGGAAAGGGAGACAAAATGCAGAGGGAAGGAAAGTCATGGAAGAGGCTGACTAATTGAATTAATATACTAATACTATTATAGAATCTTATGGAATCACGGACGGTATTTTCTATATCTTCTCTGTCTACAAGGTGAATGGCTTAGCTTATAGTAGAGAATGTTTGCCACCTTTTTTTTTTCCCTCTAAAGCCCTTCGCTCCACTCTTTTTAGCACTTCTAATCAGACTTAGTTGAACTAACCAGAAACGACATAGATCGAAGGGTCGTTCTTGTACTTGTCTCCAAAGTGCGTGATCCACTGATTCACTGAGTGACTCCTCCTTATCGCTAGAGTCCCTATCTCTTAATGTCCTATCAAACTGGGGGTAGGATTGATTAGCTTAAGGAGGGGTAAGAATGATTAGCTTAAGGACTAATTGAATAGATATTTGCTACACAGAAGAGAGATATCGTGGGAAGGTAACGTTACAGTAGCAGAGATCTAGTTTGTTTCTGTGAAAAGGCGGAAGATCCCACATCCGTTTGCCTATCTCTACCCTCTCCTCTCCAAAGGCTAAGGAGAGACTGCATCCCTTTCTTTTGGTAGCTCTTTTGCTTTCCTGCCGTGTTACACAACTAAGGGGACATGTTTCGAGTAAGCGGTTCCTTCTCTACCCTTTCCTCTCCTGTCAAAATAATCCATTGTGCCTTACTATAATAAAAGTTATGTCTTTTTGTTAATGATTTGTTCGTTATATGTGATATGTTAGTGTATTTGCCATTGTTTTATGTATTGTTCTCAAAAAATCATGGATCAGCCCCATCCACAAATCCAACCCCCCCCCCCTTACAAACAAAAAAAAGTGCCCACATAACAAAACAAAACAGGTCATCAATCGTGCGTCGATTTGGTACAAGGTATGGGTACGGTACTTCTTTCAGTACGTGGTACGATGGAATGGACTTAATATGCGACATGGTGGATTAGGCTTTGTTGGTATTTTATTTTGGGTCGTGGTTCATTTTTGTAACTTCTATATAGAATAATATATTCGTATACACATAGTTAATAAATATTTATTTTATAATTCTAATAAATGTTGTCAAAACATAAGTTTAAAGAACACCAAAATAAAGAAATAATAAGTTAGAGTTATGATTTAGGGTTAGTTGTTATGATGTGAGATTATTTAGATTACAAATTAATTTGCGATTTGAGTTGCAATTTGAGGTTGAGATTTTACGCCCTATGGATTACAAACCCACCTCATTTTAGGTCGTATGACCCTGGTTCATGAGACGCTAGGCATGACTACAATCTTGGTATCTATGGGCCAACCCTCGACAGTTGGAAAAAATTTGTGTGTGTCTATGAGGTCATCCTCACCATTTCAATATCACCCCCAAAACGCTTTTTGTTTTGTTAAATGTTCCATCAAAGGGATTTTTGTCACAAACCGAGTGCTACATCCATCCCTTCACGCTCAAACCACAAATATATAGTTGTGTATCTATGTCTGAATTTTTGAAATTTGTCATGTATGGTTCCCATTGTCTGTGTACACTGATTATATGATTCCGAAGCAATTGAAGTAATACAGTGTTATTGTTACCGTTATATGCTTCGACTCTTAAAGTGTCTGGAGCAAGGAGATATTTTAGCTCCTTAGTACAAAAGTATATGCTCTTTACTACAGGGGAGAAGGGGTTTATATTATATTTTTTGAAGATTTATCTAAAATAACCACTACATGTTGATTTATTAGATCCTTTCATCTTACTATCCTTGCCATTCTTCTTTGATTGAATATGCTAATTTGCATTTGGTTTTAAACTTCTTTGATTGAATATGCTAATAAGCTTGCATTTTTTGGTCTTGAATGAGTTTAGGTTTCAGACAATTTCTACTTTAGGATGTGGTGAATGTTGAATTGCAACTAGTTATCAAAAGCAGAAAAAAAAATGTCAGATTGGAGATGCCGTTAATCTCAGAAGTTGATTCGATTCCCCTGTGACTAGATCTCTCTATGTAGTGGTCGGCATTCTAGAAGCTTCGCCTAAGTTTTGGCCATAGACTGTCTTTTTGGCTGGGTTGTCGTTGCTGGCCTTGTAGGTAGTCGTTGTTGGATAGTCTTAAGTTATCTCAATTGAGAGTCCTGTATCTTATCTAGACTGCTGGCAGCCTTAGCTAGAGCAGGAAGGATTTTGAGTACTTCCTAAAACCCCTCCTTGGATCCTAGGAACAAGGATTTGCTGTTCTTTAGAACAACATTTTGATCCCAAGATTTCCAGTAACTTACTTTCGTATTTCTAAATCTCACATTTGGATATGACTATCCAAGAGGACCCTATTGGAAAGGGAGACAAAATGCAGAGAGAAGGAAATTCATGGAAGAGGCTGGCTAAGTGAAAAATATACTGATGCTATTATAGAATCTTATGGAATCACGGACGGCATTTTCTATATCTTCTCTGTCTACAAGGTGAATGGCTTAGCTTATAGCAGAGCATGTTTGCCACCTTTTTTTCCCTCTAAAGCCCTTCGCTCCACTCATTTTAGCACTTCTAATTAGACTTAGTTGAACTAAGTAGAAACGACATAGATCAAATGGTTGTTCATTAGCCCTGCTGTTTGTCTTCAAAGTGTGTGATTCACTCATTCATTGAGTGACTCCTCCTTATCGCTAGAGTCCCCATCTCTTAATGTCCTATCAGACTAGGGGTAGGAATGATTAGCTTAAGGACTAATTGAACAGATATTCGCTAAATAGAAGAGAGATATCGGGGGAAGGTAACGTTACAGTAGCAGGGATTTAGTTTGTTTCTGTGAAAAAGCGGAAGACCCACGTCCATTTGCCTATCTTTACCCTTTCCTCTCCAAAGGCTAAGGGAGAGACCGCATTCTTTTCCTTCGGTAGCTCTTTTGCTTTTCTGTCATGTTACACAACTAAGGGGATAGATTTCGAGCGAGCAGTTCCATCTTTGCCCTTTCCTCTCCTCTCAAAATAATCCACTACGCCTTACTATAATAGAAGTTATGTCTTTTTGTTAATGATTTGTTCATTGTATGGGATATGTTAGTGTATTTGCCTTTGTTTTATGTATTGTTCTCAAAAAATCATGGATCAGCCCCATTCACAATTCCCCACCTCCCCCCCAAAAAAAAATAAAATTGCCCAATCAACAAAACCCAGAATAGGTCATCGATCGTGCATTGATTTGGTACAAGATATGGGCACAGTACCTCTTTCAATACGTGGTACGATGGATATGCGAAATGGTGGAGTAGGCTTTGTTGGTTTTTTGTTTTGAGTCGTGGTTCATTTTTGTAACTTCTATATATAGTTAATAAATATTTATTTTATAATTCTAATAAATGTTGTCAAAATATGAGTTTAAAGAGCACCAAAATAAAGAAATAACAAGTTAGAGTTGTGATTTGGGGTTAGTTGGTATGATGTGAGATTATTTAGATTATGAATTAATTTGCGATTTGAGTTACAATTAGGGGTCGGGATTTTAAGCCCTATGGATTACAAACCCACCTCATTTTAGTTTGTGTGACCCCGGGTCATGAGATGCTAGGGATGACTACGATCATGGTATCTATGGGCCAACGCTCAACAGATGGAAAAAATTTGTGTGTGGCTATGAAGTCATCCTCACCATTTCAATGAGATCACCCCCAAAATGCTTTTTGTTTTGTTAATGTTCTGTCCAAGGAATTTTTGTCGCAAGCCCAAGTGCTATATCCTTCCCTGCACGCTCAAACCACAAATATATAGTCGTGCCTCTATGTCTGAATTTTTGGAATTTGTCATGTAGGGTTCCCATTGTCTGTGTACACTGATTATATGATTCCGAAGCAATTGAGGTAATAAAGTGTTACTGTTACCTTTAGATGCTTCAACCCTTACGTGTTTGGAGCAAGGAGACATTTTATCTCCTTAGTACAAAAGTATATGCTCTTTACTACAGGGGAGAAGGGGTTTATATTATATTCTTGAAGATTTATCTAAAATAACCACTACATGCTGATTTATTAGATCCTTTCATCTTACTATCCTTGCCATTCTTCTTTGATTGAATATGCTAATTTGCATTTGGTTTTAAACTGCGGGTTGCAGGATGCTAGAGGGACCGATGTGGATCTTAGCATTTATAAGGGAAAGGTCCTGCTGATTGTCAATGTTGCATCCCAATGGTAAGTCGTGGCTTTCCATCTTATTCTAATCCCTCGTTGTTTAAGGAACCTATTTATTCAATACAAGGGGTCAGTGTTGGTGCTATGAGTACCCATTTTACTTAAGACTAAGGAAATATAAGAACTTAGCTCCTCAAGTACCTTTCTATTTATCATAACGATGGAGGTCACTCCTGTCTCTTATACTCTCCTTTGCTTATCTTGCTGGGAGCTGTGGACAACACTGCTTTTCCTAGTCCACGAGAAGAAGTTGGACAAGGAATTTAGTTAGACTTGTTAGTGCCCTCAAATGAGAAATTGTGACTAAAGCTCCCCAAAGCCGATATTCTTTANCATCTTACTATCCTTGCCATTCTTCTTTGATTGAATATGCTAATTTGCATTTGGTTTAAACTTCTCTTAAACTGCGGGTTGCAGGATGCTAGAGGGACCGATGTGGATCTTAGCATTTATAAGGGAAAGGTCCTGCTGATTGTCAATGTTGCATCCCAATGGTAAGTCGTGGCTTTCCATCTTATTATAATCCCTCGTTGTTTAAGGAACCTATTTATTCAATACAAGGGGTCAGTGTTGGTGCTATGAGTACCCATTTTACTTAAGACTAAGGAAATATAAGAACTTGCTCCTCAAGTACCTTTCTATTTATCATAACGATGGAGGTCACTCCTGTCTCTTATACTCTCCTTTGTTTATCTTGCTGGGAGCTGTGGACAACACTGCTTTTCCTAGTCCACGAGAAGAAGTTGGACAAGGAATTTAGTTAGATTTGTTAGTGCCCTCAAATGAGAAATTTTGACTAAAGCTCCCCAAAGCCGATATTCTTTACCAGATTCTCTTTTCCAGTGTTATTTATTAATAATGATTGAAATCCCATTGTATTAACTTGGTTGTGATTTTGCAATTTTGAAGAAAATGTTGCTGATCTAATCTTTCTGATGCAGTGGCCTCACTAATTCAAATTACACAGAGCTGACAAAGCTGTACGAGAAGTACAAGGATCAAGGTTTGGTTCTGGCTTACTCTTTTGGCTACATGCATGTGATGCAAGTGCAAGCAAAGACTTATCTTGCTATAGTATCAGAAGCTTATCTCATGGCAATTGTTTTTCTCTCATGGCAATTGTTTTTCTCTTTCCGGACTTTCTGTTATAGGTTATTTTGAAATTACCCCTTTCTTATCTTCCCTTAAAATGGCAATTCAGTTGACTGTTGGCAGTTGGGAACGCCCTATATTTCAAGTGCCTGCAATTTTTCACAGCGTTATCACCCACATGTCCTCTTTTCTGAACCCCTTATTGTCATTTCAGATTCTTTAGAAGGTTTTTATCATTGTTTTTCCTTATTACAGGCCTCGAGATTCTGGCTTTCCCATGCAATCAGTTTGGTGCACAGGAGCCTGGAAGTAATGAAGAGATTCAACAGTTTGCTTGCACTCGCTTTAAGGCTGAATATCCCATATTTGATAAGGTAGGAATTGAATAGAAGCTTCTTGTTGCTCTCTCAAATTGAGATTTCTTGGCTTACTACACTTCTGCGGAATAGTGACAAAATTCTCGTTTTCTTTTCACTGATGCTTTCCCAATATCTTGAAAAGCTTAATAATAATTCAAAGCCAAAAACCTTCTGTGCACAGAATAAATGCCTTACTTGAGGGTGAACTTTTAGTGTTGTCAAAGTTGAAACACCTAAAGGCTTCATGCTATGGGGCCAGGGAGGTTCCAAGAGTATTGTTATTGCATATTCTATTTTATTAGCTGAAAAATAAATTCTCAAGAGTTGTACAAATATATTCACATGGAGATCTTGTGAAGTTTGATAAATTTTCACCAATTTGCCCGATGCCCTTAAAGCTGGACTAACCATTTATATTGGTATCGATCAATTAGGTTGATGTCAACGGTTCAAATACTACTCCAATATACAAGTTCCTGAAATCGAGCAAAGGGGGACTTTTCGGAGATGATATAAAGTGGAACTTTTCCAAATTCCTGGTTAATAAGGAGGGTCATGTTGTTGACCGCTATGCTCCCACGACTTCTCCTCTTAGCATCGAGGTAAAACCATTTACAAAATTACATAGTTTTTCGAGTTCAAAATTGAGGCAGACCTTATTGTGGAAGCTCTATATGTGTATGTGATGAACTTAACACTCTCTTTTTATTTTATTTTTTTTCCTTTTGACAGAAGGACATAAAGAAACTACTTGGCAATGCTTAAACGCTGGGAAGACGTTTCAGCACAAATAAAAGAATATGTCTGCTGGTTTTCTAGCCTTTGAAAGTTATGTAAGAANAGAAGGACATAAAGAAACTACTTGGCAATGCTTAAACGCTGGGAAGACGTTTCAGCATAAATAAAAGAATATGTCTGCTGGTTTTCTAGCCTTTGAAAGTTATGTAAGAATTGCATGAATGTACTTTTGAGAGAGTTTCTTGTTCAGTTAAATTTGAGATTTTATGGTATTATGGGCGTAATAATTTAACCAGTGCGGAGGCTGTGTTTTGTTTTCTGTTTATGAGGTTGAATGATTTAGTTTATGTTTGTATGTCTTACCCCTCGAGGATGGGTTTTGGCTTATGAGGTTGAATGATTTAGTTTATGTTTGTATGTCTTATCCCCTTGAGGATGGGTTTTGGTGCAGTGGTGAGGTGGTTCTATTGTGATCTGGGCGGCACTTATTCGAGTCACGAAGCAATCTTTTCATATGTTGGTGTTTAGGTTATATATTTGATTACCTTTCGACCCTTTGCAGTGGTGGTAGTTCGCAGCATAGTAAAAGAACTTGAAGAGGGGAAGGGGGGGAAACAAGGTAAAACGGTTTATTTCGCGCTTTCACCTTTTAAGCTTTACTAAACAAGTGAGAAATTTGATCTTAAGAAAAAAGGGGGTTTAGTGCACTATGGCATATTGAATAATAAAAAAAAAACTCTCAATGTTGGTATCAACTTGTGCTGGTTGATAAGAGCTAGTAGGTTAATGTTGCTCAACTTTTTATTCAAATGACTGAATTAGTACTTCATTAGGCAGATTGGTCGAGTTTTTGAATTGAAAATTTACCAGTTTTTTTTTTAATTTGGCCAGTTTTCTGCAATGACTCACACTACGCAGAAGTGGTCGGACACAATAAAAGCTTTAAATGTTTGAATAAATTAGACAAATGACTATCAAACTATTACTCTTATGTTAGTTAAACTTTTAAGCTAATTTTTGTATCTATTGAACCCTTAGTAATCGTATGAGTGTGATTTTTACATATTTTTATTCTTTAGTCATAATCTAGCTTCATAATCAATTATTTTTCAAGTGTAATTCAGTAAAATACTCATGTCCACATGGTTATTATGTAACTTTTTCCTTTGACAAAACTAATGAATGTTGACAAAAGGGTATAATTATTCAAATTAGCGAGTGTATAGATGCAAATTGACATAAAAATTAGTTCAGGTTTCATTGACACGCGGATCAGAGATAATTTGTGGGCCATTTATATAGTTTATTCCAAATGTTATACAAGAGGCCAAGGGCATGTCGGACATTTCAAAGAACAAACATACACGTGTAGCTAGACAACTGGTTGGAAGGCAGAATTATACTTCGAACCCTGAAAGTTTTGAAAAATACCCTCAAAGGATTAAATGTTTTCTCTTATACACTTAATGTATTAAAATTGTTGTAATGTCTAATGTAATAACAGAAACTGAGTTACCGAAGTATCACATTATAACAATTTTAATAAATTAAGGGTATAATATAAAAAACATTAATATTTGAAGGTATAAATTAAAATTTCCTAAATTTTTCGGGTATAAAGTGTGATTCCCCCATCTTTCTATGCCTGCGACCTCTGAACTCTCCCCGCTCGCTGTTTTCGGTTTCCAACTTCAAGATTTGAGGAGTGGGTTCAAAGTTCCAGCGGGCATCGTCACTTCGAGTTATAATAACTACGATGGCAAGCCAATTTAAGATAGACCCAGAATCAGTCTACGACTTCACAGTCAAGGTTAGTTTCTATTCAGTCCTAAACCACTTTATCTGTGTCTTGAGTATGTGTTCATTCCTGATCAGACAAAGGGTGTTGCAGCGTTTATGCACACAAACCTTGAACTTCTCTAACGTGCTTAATCTTCTGGTTTATTGGGCTTTCGATGAAGGATAAGAAGGTCATGAAACTGTGAGTGTGTTTGCACATGAACCTTAGTTTGGGTTTGTAATTTTAGGAGCGAAGCAAAAAGTGGGACATCCGAAGGAATTAATGTTGGACTTACTGGATCCTTAGCAATTCATGCTAGGATTGGTCATTGGATTCTCTAGAAAGCCCTTTTTATGAAATATCTGAGAGATCAAAAGGGGTTCGGGTGCTTTATTTATCACCCTTTAGAGATGAATACTATATTGTAGCGGCATTGGCTTTGGTTTTCTGAATTTTTGAGTGGTTTCAAGAACATTGGATGTGGTAAATAAGTGTGAGGATTATTAACTTCTCTCTCTCTCTCTAATTTTCTTATTTAAGTTTTGACTTCCCCTTTTTCCCATAAAATTGCTAGTCTACAAATGTTGTGATTCCATTGAAAACCCCCAATAACCATAAATTATACTCTCTCCGTTCCTAAATATCTGTCATTTAAGGTTTTTGTACAGGGATTAAGAAAACTATTAATTAGTTCTAATATGAGTAAAAAATAATTACACAAGATTAAAATACCATTATTCAATATATATTGANCTCTCTCTCTAATTTTCTTATTTAAGTTTTGACTTCCCCTTTTTCCCATAAAATTGCCAGTCTACAAATGTTGTGATTCCATTGAAAACCCCCAATAACCATAAATTATACTCCCTCCGTTCCTAAATATCTGTCATTTAAGGTTTTTGTACAGGGATTAAAAAAATTATTAATTAGTTCTAATATGAGGAAAAAATAATTACACAAGATTAAAATATCATTATTCAATACATATTGGGAAGGAAAGGAATATAAAAGGCATTTAGCCTCTACCAAATCTAATGCATTGAAAAGTTAAAAGGTAAATTTAGAAGAAAAAATATTAATTTTGTTTTGGTTTCATTAAATGACAGATATTATGGAATAAAAAAAATTATGTAAAACAATAGATATTTAGGAACGGAGGAAATAGTTTTGATACAACTCAGAGGGATAAATTTTGGTATCATGCGGATCTCTCAAAGTTGAACCAAACTAAACCAAATCTTATAACTCAATCATTTGGGATCTCTCAAAGTTGAACTGAGCCTTTAAAATAGTTTGAAAAGGGAAGCCAATGCACAATTTATTTCCCTTAATATCATGTTTGCTCTTTCACTTTCAGGATGCTAAGGGAAATGATGTAGTTCTTAGCATATATAGGGGGAAAGTCTTACTCATTGTCAATGTTGCTTCCAAGTGGTACACTCATCTGCTTTCCTTTGCTTTTACATATGTTGTGAATCTCATTTGTGAATATTTCAAAATTGGTGCCTCTTTGATTTTGGGGGCTAATCTTGTCCATTTCATTTCACACCCAATTCAATTCATCCCCCTTTTACATCTTTTTTTGTCATCGTACTTGTTATTTACCCTTTGTTGTTTGATTCATTGTGGCAGTGGGATGACCAACTCAAATTACACGGAGCTGAATCAGTTATATGAAAAGTACAAAGATAAAGGTTTGTTTTGGAGTTTCTCCTCTCTTTTATAGTGCTTTCATAAGTTTCATTATAACCTACACAAGAGATTGTCAACCCCCAATCCTATGCAAGCAAACCAGGCAGGGTAGCACCCTTGCACCATTGGCTCTCATGCTTATCTGGGCTATAATTTATCCATATTCATCGTTTTGTTGTCAAAAAAAAATTTCATTTTTATAGACTACTTGAGTCAAATTGCTTGCAACATGCATAACCCAAAAGAAGTTTCTTCTCCCTGCTAGCATCTATGATTGGATCAGAGTTCCATCTTACAATTTACTCATCTGTTACATTGGTGTAGGATGTCTTGAATTGATCTTTTATCTATTGTCACAATAGGACTGGAGATACTAGCATTTCCATGCAATCAGTTTGGTGAGGAGGAACCTGGAAGTAATGATCAAATCTTAGATTTTGTCTGCACTCGTTTCAAGTCAGAATTTCCCATCTTTGACAAGGTAAACCCCACACAAAACATACGTATGCTTTCTTTATGCTCAAGCAGACTCAAACTGCCGTTCTAGACAACTCTATTGCACCTAGAAGTTTCAGTTTCAGACTTTCAGTCAATCACATGTCTGTGGGTTTCTTTTCCTTGATAAATAGTGTTTTGTTTATTTTCACAGAAGGTGAATGCTGTGCAAACATTTTGTTCACTAGCTTGCTATTTTACTTCATCATTTTGGCTGACCAATGAATTTTTCTTGGCTCGAAGTATGTCTTCTTGCATAATTTTTGGAGAGTTTCATGTGGCTTGTAGTCATTGTGTGGATTCGTTGTCCACCTTTGATTTGTTTCTTGTAAATTTTTTCTTTTGACTATCAATAAAATGTCGTGTCTTATAAAAAAAAATTATGGGAATGGCTATATGTCCACCTTGCATCAGTCTGAACTATGTTAGCGGAAGATTGATGGAAGATAACCAAAATACTTCCATTTTAGAACGTAGTTTAATGTTTTAAACCTTAATATAACTATTTTTTGATTGTGTGGTATTATGCTTAAATTAACCTTCTGTTCTTGTATTAGATTGAAGTGAACGGGGATAATACTGCGCCGCTATACAAGTTCTTGAAGACAGGAAAATGGGGAATTATTGGAGATGATATTCAGTGGAATTTTGCTAAGTTCCTGGTTGATAAGAATGGGCAGGCTGTCGATCGCTATTACCCCACAACTTCCCCTCTCACTATTGAGGTAAGAACCCACTTTTGCCAATCACCTAATTCTGGGAGATTGGAAATTCATATAGGTCATATTTCTTCTGTGGCTTTATGCGTACTAAATGGTGTATATATATGCAATGTAATTCTTCTGTCTTTTTGATATATTGCAGACAGATGTGAAGAAGCTCTTGGGGCTCCCATAAGCACCATGCGTTAGAGGTCGTAGTCGCTGTAGAACACCAGATGCTTGCTTTTCTTTTTTGTGTAATATGTGCCACCATTGAAATGTGGAAGGTATGCTGGATAAGGTGGTATTGATATGGATAACTGAGTTTCATTTCTTTGGGTACAAAAAAGAACTCCAATAGATCTTCAGAAGTAACAAAGAAGATTCAGTTTGAAGGAAACACTAGAACAAAATCTTGCTAGTTTCAATTCAAGTGTATTGTACAGACAACAGTTCAAGCTGTTGGCTCTGTACAGAAGATGTTGTGGTCATCCCATGGTTGAGTCACTTTCATCACCAAGTTGATAAAGCCGCCACCGGCATTTTGCCCTAGGGGGTCTCATTGTGACCTCAGGAAGATGCACCACCATCTCCACCCTGCTCAGTGGAGTTAGCTTCATGCGACTCTAATCAGAAAGGCTCAGAAATCGTAACCCAATTGGGCTGGCTTCATAACCTGATATATCCACACATAACAAAAGAGCATCCATTTGGCCAAGAAATTTTGAAGGATGTAAGTCTTAAATGCATTAGCCACGATCACATAAACCGAAAGAGTATGTTGGTAGTTGGTTACAACAGAATTAAGGCCCAAAGAACCATCACTCTTCTTAGTTCGCTAAGAAAACTCAGTTCAATCTGATGACAATACTCCTACTTGCTACAAACAGAACAGTACAGTTGAGCTCCAACCACTAGATTTCTCTAAAATGGTTACTTAAGAACCTAGACTGTGACATTTGTTACGGAATAGGTTAGCACAATCCATCATCCACGGGTGGGTAGACAAGGCAAGTTGCACAGTTCATTTACAACACCACTTATATACAAAGTCACCATGTTTGTATCTATTGCAGCAAATTGTGTCATCCGCGAGTCAGGTCAATTTCTGCATGAGGATTTGTCAGATCTAACCGTGACTTTGGAGGCCAATCATTCGTAGCAGAATTTGGACTGAGATTATGACCAGGGGCTGCATTAGGTGCAGATGAATTTTCACCAGACTGAGCAGTAGAATTGTCACCATTGGGACCAGCCTCCGTTTTGTTCTTTGTCTTAGAACCACCATAAACAAAACTGCATACAACCACCTGCAGGAAGTGACATTCGTTATGGAGTCTATTCTTGAAACTCCTAAAAAGTACATGAACGTGTACTTCATTCCAGTTCCCATCCATTAAAACAAAAACACTGGACATGCAAATAGCTATGCACCAAGTGTGTCCTCACCCACAGCCTCCACAAAATAATCTTATATGCATCACTTGAGGCATTCAAACTGGTTGCCCCGCCATGCAAANCCATCCATTAAAACAAAAACACTGGACATGCAAATAGCTATGCACCAAGTGTGTCCTTCCCCACAGCCTCCACAAAATAATCTTATATGCATCACTTGAGGCATTCAAACTGGTTGCCCCGCCATGCAAAGAACTCAAATTGCTTTAGTTTGGCCATACAACACAAAAAGATGCAAATATGACCACAAGCACACAAGACAAAAACCTCTGCTCCCAGGGAGATGGGAGTGAAAAAAGAAAAAGAGGCAGTTGAATTACCTGAGCTGGGCTTGCTGCAACAAGCTTACCACCTATTGCACCTCCAATGATGTGGCCATCAGGACTACAAATAGAGATACTTAAACCACCAGTCCGGTTGCGGGGGCCACCATTTTCAGCAAGCAGGTAAGATCCTGACAAGCAGAGTATCTCAAAACGGCCCTGAAAAATTGATGAAGCAAATGATTTTCTTTTGAGTAGAGAGGAAAGAAAAAGAAAGGAAGGGAATTGTAACAAATTTCTTGAGNGATGTGGCCATCAGGACTACAAATAGAGATACTTAAACCACCAGTCCGGTTGCGGGGGCCACCATTTTCAGCAAGCAGGTAAGATCCTGACAAGCAGAGTATCTCAAAACGGCCCTGAAAATTTGATGAAGCAAATGATTTTCTTTTGAGTAGAGAGGAAAGAAAAAGAAAGGAAGGGAATTGTAACAAATTTCTTGAAAAATGGAACATTAATGCAGTAATCACAGCAAAATCACTGGAAAATATAGACATCATCAACTGAATGCATGCAGACAACTTCTTCTCCATCTTATTTATGATCTGGACTTGCAAAACAAAAAAAATACAAGAAGAAATATCCAGGAAAAGACTTCCCAATACTAGGCATTTTCAATCAACAATAGCAATAACTGTCCCATATTTAGTTCTGCAGCGTGAAACCAACTGAAAAATCAATTAAATAATAAAACTTAAGCAAGTGGTGAAAACAGTGAGAGAGCAAAGGTATAAGCAAAAGAGTAAAAGGTGTTAAGTAAAAGCTCTAACTGAGTTGTCTTAGCTAGCCATTTCGGACTAGCTTTCTTTGACTTGTGCTGAGCGGACTGAAAATGCCCACCACCCTCCTTTCATCTCAATTTCTCCAAACCCGCATTTTATAGTGTTCTTTGCACACTTCACTAGGTGATATGGGCCGAAGCCCTTTGACTAGGGACCCCTCATCTCTTCTCACCTTATCTCATTGGGGCCATCACGATCCATCCTTCTAGGGATACACATCCTTGTGTGGTACCAGTCCCCAACCACGAGGTAAGTTTGGCTCCAATGCCAACGCAATCCTGAACCCATCAGTATATAATGTGGCATTTTTCAACTCTAATACTTGTTTCTGAATTTATGGATGAATGATAAACAAGAAGATAATGATTAGAGGAATAAGGAAGCTAATTAAGGTGTGAAAATCGACAAAAGAAAGGAGAAAGGAAGGCTGAGTAAATCAGATTAGCATAAAGCTTATAACATGGTGAATTGGGATTTCCTACAATCAAAGAAAAATCCTAAATCCATGTTATCTAGGGAAGAATCAAGTCAAACATGGCAGAGATGGCTCCAGTGCTATGCTTCCACATTAGTTATGCAATTCTAGTTAAGAGCTCTCAAACGCAAGATCAGGCAAGAAGACCCCCTCTAAAATTTGCAACATAATTTTGCACAAAAAAACTCTTCCAAAATTCTACATTTCCCTCCTCTTCAATAAACTGCATTTCCTGGTACGGGCTTTGCAAAGGACAATCAATCATTATACCATTCAGGAGGAACAAAATAAGGTCACGAGCTGAAATCAACCATGTCAATGTCTTAATTTTTAACNTATACCTCTCCTGCTCCAATATGTATGACATGAGGTGTAAAAGCCAATCCTGCAGAAGTGTTCATCCATTCACCTGGCAGAAGCAATTAATCATTAGGCAAAAAACATCATTTACTCCAACCACTGGCAAAACTAAGAGAAAGAGAACAAGAAAAAAGAAAGCAGGATCCCCAAATTTTGGTGTTATGGTGCAAAAACCACAACAACATATAAAAAAAGTTGACGCAGAATACTAAGACCACAAATATGGAAATCAGCATCCTATTTTTATCTGTATCTCAAATACGGATGTCGTAAATACAGATGGCCATAGAAATCAATCTTAACAACACGAAACAAATCCAACACTAGAAGTCATGGCCTTAGGCTTCACTGTACCACATCAGTTCCACATTTCTAAAACACGATTACTTGAGAATAGTTCTACCTTTGTTATTTTTATAAATGACAATCTCAGAGTCGTTATTCATGACCATATATGCCAAACAGATGACATTTCAGAACTGTGATACAACTGACATGATTTATCCCCCAACAGTTCAAAGAATTCTACGTAAGAAGAAAAGAAAATTCACCCACTCACAAAAAATCACAAATCCTGAAAGCTGTGTCAATACACAAAATCTTCAAGTAGATTAAATATGCAAAAAAATCTTCAAAAAGACCTCATATTAGTTGCAGGTTGTGTCACATCACATTAATAATGCAAAAGAATTATAAAATGCTATCACTATCAATATGCATTATACAGAAGAAAGATCAAACCCTGAGAACAAAAAGATACATCATTACAATCAAAACCTATTTCTAAGATAGTTAAGTTAAAAGAACAAGTCATCAATTTATCAAATACAATCCCACATATATCAAACGAAGGTAACATTCATATAATTTAAAAATTTACCAAGAGAAGCTAATTGTTGCTTTCTCCCACTCCCAGGTGGCCGCCCTCTACCACGTCTGGGGGTTAGCGACCCTGGAGAAGGCGTGGACGACATCGGAGACAGTAACAGAGACATGTTGGCACTGTCTGGACCATATTTTCGAGGCCTCCCTCTTTTCTTCTTTCCAGTATCGCCCGGTGACACACCACTGGGGGCCACACCCATGGCAATGCCATGAGGAAAACTGGGTGATGGGTTTTCTACTTGGTATGTGGAACCCACATTGGACTGAAATGAAATGTTAGGGTTTGAAGAGGTTTTGAAGCCTGGTGGGGCTGGTAAACCAGTCTGTGTCCCAGATCCAGAAGCAGGAACAGAACCAGAAGGTCCAGACGCAGAACCAGACCCACTAACCCCTCTGTTGAGGTAGTAAGGTGGTGTTCCATCCATGCATTTACTCAGTAAATTCTCCACACACACAAAACTATAATATTTTTTGCCAAAATATAAAATATATATGGGTTCAAAACTCCTCTAGCCTGAATTTAACAACCTACCCACCAAGAAAGAGAGTAAAATTATCTAAACAAGAAACCAAATACACCAAAAAAAACCCAAACTAATAACTTAAAAGAGATTTCTTGGCAAGGGTTTAACTTGGGTTTTTCTTAAAACAGTAAAAAAAAAACATAGAAAAATGAAATCTTGAAGCCTCCACTCTACAAGAAAAAGAAAAGGGCGTAAGAAATTAATGTCAAAGTATGAAGGATATCACTAGAAAAAACACGCAGCAGAGCTTACTGAGAAGAATGTAGAAAGTCTGAAGCTAAGAGGTCCCTCAAATCAAGGCTTAACAGGTTAAAGCCTAACAGTTGTTGAACAGTGATCAAGAACATCAGGAAGAAAATAAAAAACAAAAATGGAAAACCCTAGATTTGAAATGAAGGGAAAGAGAAGGAAGAGTTTTGGTAAAGAAAGAGAGTAAGGAGGGTAAAGACAAAAGTGAATTGAAATAGAAAATGCTGAGCTTTTGAATTTAAAGTAAGTGAAGACCACTCCTTTATTTATCAAATAATATTTTATTGGGGTTTGAAGAAGGGTTAGTAGTGAGGGCAGTAGTTTCTGACTTGGAGCTCTCTTTGGGACAGTGGGGTGCACCTAAGTACCAACATGTCCTTATCAGGGTTGCCATATTTTCTCCCTCCTCCCTCTTTCTCTCTTTTTTTTTTTTTTNAAAAGTTGACGCAGAATACTAAGACCACAAATATGGAAATCAGCATCCTATTTTTATCTGTATCTCAAATACGGATGTCGTAAATACAGATGGCCATAGAAATCAATCTTAACAACACGAAACAAATCCAACACTAGAAGTCATGGCCTTAGGCTTCACTGTACCACATCAGTTCCACATTTCTAAAACACGATTACTTGAGAATAGTTCTACCTTTGTTATTTTTATAAATGACAATCTCAGAGTCGTTATTCATGACCATATATGCCAAACAGATGACATTTCAGAACTGTGATACAACTGACATGATTTATCCCCCAACAGTTCAAAGAATTCTACGTAAGAAGAAAAGAAAATTCACCCACTCACAAAAAATCACAAATCCTGAAAGCTGTGTCAATACACAAAATCTTCAAGTAGATTAAATATGCAAAAAAATCTTCAAAAAGACCTCATATTAATTGCAGGTTGTGTCACATCACATTAATAATGCAAAAGAATTATAAAATGCTATCACTATCAATATGCATTATACAGAAGAAAGATCAAACCCTGAGAACAAAAAGATACATCATTACAATCAAAACCTATTTCTAAGATAGTTAAGTTAAAAGAACAAGTCATCAATTTATCAAATACAATCCCACATATATCAAACGAAGGTAACATTCATATAATTTAAAAATTTACCAAGAGAAGCTAATTGTTGCTTTCTCCCACTCCCTGGTGGCCGCCCTCTACCACGTCTGGGGGTTAGCGACCCTGGAGAAGGCGTGGACGACATCGGAGACAGTAACAGAGACATGTTGGCACTGTCTGGACCATATTTTCGAGGCCTCCCTCTTTTCTTCTTTCCAGTATCGCCCGGTGACACACCACTGGGGGCCACACCCATGGCAATGCCATGAGGAAAACTGGGTGATGGGTTTTCTACTTGGTATGTGGAACCCACATTGGACTGAAATGAAATGTTAGGGTTTGAAGAGGTTTTGAAGCCTGGTGGGGCTGGTAAACCAGTCTGTGTCCCAGATCCAGAAGCAGGAACAGAACCAGAAGGTCCAGACGCAGAACCAGACCCACTAACCCCTCTGTTGAGGTAGTAAGGTGGTGTTCCATCCATGCATTTACTCAGTAAATTCTCCACACACACAAAACTATAATATTTTTTGCCAAAATATAAAATATATATGGGTTCAAAACTCCTCTAGCCTGAATTTAACAACCTACCCACCAAGAAAGAGAGTAAAATTATCTAAACAAGAAACCAAATACACCAAAAAAAACCCAAACTAATAACTTAAAAGAGATTTCTTGGCAAGGGTTTAACTTGGGTTTTTCTTAAAACAGTAAAAAAAAAACATAGAAAAATGAAATCTTGAAGCCTCCACTCTACAAGAAAAAGAAAAGGGCGTAAGAAATTAATGTCAAAGTATGAAGGATATCACTAGAAAAAACACGCAGCAGAGCTTACTGAGAAGAATGTAGAAAGTCTGAAGCTAAGAGGTCCCTCAAATCAAGGCTTAACAGGTTAAAGCCTAACAGTTGTTGAACAGTGATCAAGAACATCAGGAAGAAAATAAAAAACAAAAATGGAAAACCCTAGATTTGAAATGAAGGGAAAGAGGAGGAAGAGTTTTGGTAAAGAAAGAGAGTAAGGAGGGTAAAGACAAAAGTGAATTGAAATAGAAAATGCTGAGCTTTTGAATTTAAAGTAAGTGAAGACCACTCCTTTATTTATCAAATAATATTTTATTGGGGTTTGAAGAAGGGTTAGTAGTGAGGGCAGTAGTTTCTGACTTGGAGCTCTCTTTGGGACAGTGGGGTGCACCTAAGTACCAACATGTCCTTATCAGGGTTGCCATATTTTCTCCCTCCTCCCTCTTTCTCTTTTTTTTTTTTTTTTTTTTTTTAACACAAAATAGATATGATAAGTCACTCCACGTCGGGTCGAAGTTCAGATCTCACTCTATATTTTGGATGCTAAAAATAAATTTAATTTTAATTAATTATCATAATTATAAAAACTCAAACTCCAATATTAACCAATCAAATTTAAACTCTTGTTCCCTAAATCAACCATCGTTGATTGTCTTTTTCTTTTTGTAACGAGGGTACTGCCATTATTTTCTCTCTCCTCACTTTTTCTCCTTCCCTGATGATTTAAATGATACCTTTTGTAGGTTTGCTTTTGAACCTTTGGTATTTGGATCTGAATTAGAGTGGGGGAGGGCAGAGAGAGAGGTAGAGAGAAGTCAAAAAGTACTTAAGAAAAAGACAAAAAAAGATTCAAATATTGATTAGGAAAATTGGAAAGAAAAAAAAAACTGAGCAGAGAACAGTGAAAAGGAGGGGTGTGATGTTGCCAGGAATAGGATATGTTTTTTTTTTTTGTTTTTGCACATGGCAAAATGACGTCGTTTAAGGACGATTAAAGATTTTTTTTTTTTTTTTGCACTTAGATTAAAGATAGCTCATACGGATGCTGCATAGATTCATATCCTTAAATCTATGTAGGATTANGTGTGAAAATCGACAAAAGAAAGGAGAAAGGAAGGCTGAGTAAATCAGATTAGCATAAACCTTATAACATGGTGAATTGGGATTTCCTACAATCAAAGAAAAATCCTAAATCCATGTTATCTAGGGAAGAATCAAGTCAAACATGGCAGAGATGGCTCCAGTGCTATGCTTCCACATTAGTTATGCAATTCTAGTTAAGAGCTCTCAAACGCAAGATCAGGCAAGAAGACCCCCTCTAAAATTTGCAACATAATTTTGCACAAAAAAACTCTTCCAAAATTCTACATTTCCCTCCTCTTCAATAAACTGCATTTCCTGGTACGGGCTTTGCAAAGGACAATCAATCATTATACCATTCGGGAGGAACAAAATAAGGTCACGAGCTGAAATCAACCATGTCAATGTCTTAATTTTTAAGGACTCAACAAAACTGACATCTTGACATACGCCTGAACAAAACACAAGTACCTGTGCCAATATAAAATTTCCTGCAAAGTATACCAACTAAACCATTGTGGTCATAGCAGCGCTCTGATTTTGGTGAGTATAATACCAGCCACAATTGACTGCTCTAATATTAAAAATAACTTAGAGAAAGGACTGTATACAACTTATGGACACCCCCAAAAAGGAAACCACTACAACAAATTTATTACAGCTTATGTATGCTTGCACTATATTACATTCCTGCCATATGTAACAGCCATCAACATAGATTGCATTTGCAGAAATTCAATTTACAATAATTTAAAGGCCAGTTAAGCACAAAATATTTAAGAGAAGAGATTTCATGGATGCATATGATAATTCTGCAAAATAAACTGACTTTCATGTGATTAGTCAGGATGACAGATTGGAAAATTTTTGACAAAAGGTACATGGCATCAAAACTAATATTCCGTGTACAATAATAAAAAGGGATTATCGGGTGGTTCAACCTCATAAGTCACCGTGCCGCCAGAAGGCTGACATAGTTGTACTGCCGAAACTGTGCCATTAGCTGACAAGATACATAGAGCCCTCGGCCTGTGTTGTGCAAATGAAAGCACCTTCATCGCAATGTCCTACAGACGACGAGAATGCAGTTATATTTGCATTCCATAAGGAGTTGGTCAATAATCAAAACTGGTTAGTTCATCTCTACCAATACACTAAGCTTTGGAAGTAAGTTCAAAAGTTATATTGAACACGAAAATGACATCATGAGCCTTAGAACATTAGTTTAACAACTACTTTTCAACACATATATTAACATCAGCAGCAGCAACATCCCCCTCCCTACTTTGTCCTCTCTGCGATGTGTGTCAACATAAAATTATGCAACCATGTAAAATGTAAAAATTAGAATATTCTACTATAACTGTAGGAAACAACAGGTGTAGCAAAACTAAGCAGGGCACTTTTCCATAAAAAAACATCTTTACAATTCCTCCAACATTTGGGTTTTTCTTAAGGGTTTTTGAAAAGTGGGGTGTTTCTATTTTATGTTAAGGAAACCTTCTCAAATTTATTAGAATTCACCTCTGAAGCGAATAAAATATGTAATAACTAAAGCTCTTGCATTTGTGCACATCGACACATAGCGACTCTTACTCCAATGGAGACATTTCTTACAGGTTAGTAGAGAAATTATATACCTCTCCTGCTCCAATATGTATGACATGAGGTGTAAAAGCCAATCCTGCAGAAGTGTTCATCCATTCACCTGGCAGAAGCAATTAATCATTAGGCAAAAAACATCATTTACTCCAACCACTGGCAAAACTAAGAGAAAGAGAACAAGAAAAAAGAAAGCAGGATCCCCAAATTTTGGTGTTATGGTGCAAAAACCACAACAACATATAAAAAAAGTTGACGCAGAATACTAAGACCACAAATATGGAAATCAGCATCCTATTTTTATCTGTATCTCAAATACGGATGTCGTAAATACAGATGGCCATAGAAATCAATCTTAACAACACGAAACAAATCCAACACTAGAAGTCATGGCCTTAGGCTTCACTGTACCACATCAGTTCCACATTTCTAAAACACGATTACTTGAGAATAGTTCTACCTTTGTTATTTTTATAAATGACAATCTCAGAGTCGTTATTCATGACCATATATGCCAAACAGATGACATTTCAGAACTGTGATACAACTGACATGATTTATCCCCCAACAGTTCAAAGAATTCTACGTAAGAAGAAAAGAAAATTCACCCACTCACAAAAAATCACAAATCCTGAAAGCTGTGTCAATACACAAAATCTTCAAGTAGATTAAATATGCAAAAAAATCTTCAAAAAGACCTCATATTAATTGCAGGTTGTGTCACATCACATTAATAATGCAAAAGAATTATAAAATGCTATCACTATCAATATGCATTATACAGAAGAAAGATCAAACCCTGAGAACAAAAAGATACATCATTACAATCAAAACCTATTTCTAAGATAGTTAAGTTAAAAGAACAAGTCATCAATTTATCAAATACAATCCCACATATATCAAACGAAGGTAACATTCATATAATTTAAAAATTTACCAAGAGAAGCTAATTGTTGCTTTCTCCCACTCCCTGGTGGCCGCCCTCTACCACGTCTGGGGGTTAGCGACCCTGGAGAAGGCGTGGACGACATCGGAGACAGTAACAGAGACATGTTGGCACTGTCTGGACCATATTTTCGAGGCCTCCCTCTTTTCTTCTTTCCAGTATCGCCCGGTGACACACCACTGGGGGCCACACCCATGGCAATGCCATGAGGAAAACTGGGTGATGGGTTTTCTACTTGGTATGTGGAACCCACATTGGACTGAAATGAAATGTTAGGGTTTGAAGAGGTTTTGAAGCCTGGTGGGGCTGGTAAACCAGTCTGTGTCCCAGATCCAGAAGCAGGAACAGAACCAGAAGGTCCAGACGCAGAACCAGACCCACTAACCCCTCTGTTGAGGTAGTAAGGTGGTGTTCCATCCATGCATTTACTCAGTAAATTCTCCACACACACAAAACTATAATATTTTTTGCCAAAATATAAAATATATATGGGTTCAAAACTCCTCTAGCCTGAATTTAACAACCTACCCACCAAGAAAGAGAGTAAAATTATCTAAACAAGAAACCAAATACACCAAAAAAAACCCAAACTAATAACTTAAAAGAGATTTCTTGGCAAGGGTTTAACTTGGGTTTTTCTTAAAACAGTAAAAAAAAAACATAGAAAAATGAAATCTTGAAGCCTCCACTCTACAAGAAAAAGAAAAGGGCGTAAGAAATTAATGTCAAAGTATGAAGGATATCACTAGAAAAAACACGCAGCGGAGCTTACTGAGAAGAATGTAGAAAGTCTGAAGCTAAGAGGTCCCTCAAATCAAGGCTTAACAGGTTAAAGCCTAACAGTTGTTGAACAGTGATCAAGAACATCAGGAAGAAAATACAAAAACAAAAATGGAAAACCCTAGATTTGAAATGAAGGGAAAGAGGNGAAGCTAAGAGGTCCCTCAAATCAAGGCTTAACAGGTTAAAGCCTAACAGTTGTTGAACAGTGATCAAGAACATCAGGAAGAAAATAAAAAACAAAAATGGAAAACCCTAGATTTGAAATGAAGGGAAAGAGAAGGAAGAGTTTTGGTAAAGAAAGAGAGTAAGGAGGGTAAAGACAAAAGTGAATTGAAATAGAAAATGCTGAGCTTTTGAATTTAAAGTAAGTGAAGACCACTCCTTTATTTATCAAATAATATTTTATTGGGGTTTGAAGAAGGGTTAGTAGTGAGGGCAGTAGTTTCTGACTTGGAGCTCTCTTTGGGACAGTGGGGTGCACCTAAGTACCAACATGTCCTTATCAGGGTTGCCATATTTTCTCCCTCCTCCCTCTTTCTCTTTTTTTTTTTTTTTTAACACAAAATAGATATGATAAGTCACTCCACGTCGGGTCGAAGTTCAGATCTCACTCTATATTTTGGATGCTAAAAATAAATTTAATTTTAATTAATTATCATAATTATAAAAACTCAAACTCCAATATTAACCAATCAAATTTAAACTCTTGTTCCCTAAATCAACCATCGTTGATTGTCTTTTTCTTTTTGTAACGAGGGTACTGCCATTATTTTCTCTCTCCTCACTTTTTCTCCTTCCCTGATGATTTAAATGATACCTTTTGTAGGTTTGCTTTTGAACCTTTGGTATTTGGATCTGAATTAGAGTGGGGGAGGGCAGAGAGAGAGAGGTAGAGAGAAGTCAAAAAGTACTTAAGAAAAAGACAAAAAAAGATTCAAATATTGATTAGGAAAATTGGAAAGAAAAAAAAAACTGAGCAGAGAACAGTGAAAAGGAGGGGTGTGATGTTGCCAGGAATAGGATATGTTTTTTTTTTTTGTTTTTGCACATGGCAAAATGACGTCGTTTAAGGACGATTAAAGTTTTTTTTTTTTTTTTGCACTTAGATTAAAGATAGCTCATACAGATGCTGCATATAATAGGATTAATGATTAATGAGTGATGATTAATGAGTGAGAAATTCAATTTTATATAATAGATCTCACTTAAATACATGATAATCAATTTATTGAAAAAAAATTAAAAATATATAAACTTGAAGAAATCTCCTACGAACTTCTACAATAATGATATTTTGTCTATCAAATCTCAATGAAGTTTGTGAATGTGATGCATCATTTTGTCAAAAGAAATTCGATATATGTAGAGAAACACAAACTTGGTTAGTGAAATACGGCTCTTTAACTATAATCAACACAATTCAATTGACTATTTTTCATTTGATGTCAAATGAGATTAATATATTATTGACTAATAGAATCGACTCTAACGTTGTTTAATATAAACATAAAGGAAAAATTTTAACCACATTTTTTTTAGTTTATCATGTTTTCAAGAATATTTTTTTTTATTTTTGAATCTTCACTGATACCTTCTGTCAGATTAAAGATGTTACTTGCAATGTAATTTTACTAAATTATTTATGAAAAATTTCATTCACACTCCCTCTAATTAAGCATATCTTCAATGAAACTCCCTCTATTTTATTTTTTTACATATTAAAATTCGATTCAAATTAGTTAAAATTTATTTTTTATGTATTAAAATTTGAGTCAGTTAAAAATTATATTTTTTTACATATTAAAATTTGAGGCCCTTAAAATTCTATTCCAGGTGTGTATAAGGTCCTTCACCACCACCACTTTTAAGTGGCAGTGTTGATGCGGTCCTCTGTGTGTTGTGTAATCATTTCTTTTGAAAAAATCAAATACCAAGAACTTATGTGCATGCGTAAGTTCCATGAGTCCTGTGTGGGCCCAATCTGTGAATAAGGAACAAGGGGTTGGGGGTTTTCTCACATTGAATAGCCTTGGGGTTGTGTGTGTGTATAAGGCCCTTCACCATCACCATTTTTAAGTGACGGTGTTGATGCAGTCCTCTGTGTGTTGTTTAATAGTTTCTTTCGAAAAAAACAAGTACCAGGAACTTGTGTGCGTGAGTCAATCCCACGAGTCCCGTGTGGGCCCAATCCGTGAATAAGGAGCAAGGGACTAGGGGCTTTCTCACATCGGATAGCCTTAAGATTGTGTGTGTGTGTATAAGGCCTTTCACCACTACCACTTTTAAGTGGCGGTGTTGATGTTGTCCTGTGTGTGTTGTGTAATCGTTTCTTTCGAAAAAAAAAAAATTTCTATTCGATGCGTAAATCAAATTTTAATTGATCTAAATTTTAATATATAAAAAAATATAAATTTTAATTGATTCAATTTTTAATACATAAAAATTAAATTTTAATTAATTTAAATTGAATTTTAATATATAAAAAAATATTAATTTAATCGATTCGAAAATACATTTTAGTCAGGGTTAATAACTCAAGTAGAGCTCAAATTAACTCAAATTTTAATACGTAAAAAAATTAAATTTAATCAACTCGAATCGAAATTGACTTAAATTTTAATACATAGAAAAAAGAATTCTAATTACCTCAAATTTTAATATGTAAAAAAAATTAATCGGCTCGAATTTTATGTAAAATAATTGCTTGAGATTTATGTAAGGACAATTCAGGTATTTTAAAAAATTTATTTTTGTTATAAATAATGGTTTAATAACAGGGGTTGGCAGTAATATTTTTGATAATAGAGGGAATGTCTTTAAAAATATAATAAACTAAAAAGTATGTAACTGAAATTTTCTGAAACATTAAATCAAAATCATGTTGATTCCTACGTATAAGCGGTCCATTTCATGATCTTTCATTGTCGCCATCCAAAGGATTGCAATTGGACCTGATCATGAGTTGTTTTCAACAAACTTCAACTACTAGACTGCCAGCAACTAAGATGTTAACATATCAGCAGAATAAATGCAATTAAACAAAATTTCCTGAATCTTTGAAATTTAGGGTTTCACTCTGACACCAAAGGAACTACTAGGATAATGAAATAAATCACTTTTTAAATAATTTTTAGGTAGTTCAGGGTCAGTCGGCTGATAATTCTATAATCTTATATTTAATATTTCTCGTATCACTTATTAGTCACCTTTGTTTCAAAGCTAGACATATTTTAAACTCACTCGAAATTTAAACTCAAAGAAATAATTAACATAAATTTGGATAACTTATAGTAAAAAAAAATCACCTTTTATGTTCAAAATAAGATTTTTTAGGGTCAAATTATATCACAAAAAAAATGATCAATCTTAAAAAAATAAAACTTCTAGGGTCTAGTTACACTATTTTGGGGATACAATGTTTTGGGGGTGTTTTAGTCTTTGAGATCGATCCGGGATTGATCCTAAACACCTCCAAAATTTGTAATTTGACCCCCAAAGTTTGTATCTTAATTCCAAAAGTTAATATTTTACGATATCATACCGGAAAAACATTTTTGATACCATAGACTTAATCACGAAATTTAACATGGGCATCACCAAAATCTTAAGTCTTGTTAGCTAGGGTGATAAACGAGCCGAATGAATAAGTTCGAATCCGAGCCTAAAAAACTTATTTTTTAAAACAAACTTAAAAAAATGTACACGCTCAGCTCATTTTCTAAACGAATGAGCTCGAGTTGAACTTAAAACGAGTCAAACCTGAGCTGAGTCTGAATAACTTTAATAGTTTAGAGCAATTCCAACTCATTGGCTAAATCTCCATTCTTAGCTATCTTGGCAAGGCAAACTTCAAAAATCTACTCCAATCAACTGTTCATCTTGCTCGCTTAAATCTAAGAGACTCTTCATGCTCGCCAGATATTGAGAGAGAAGAAGCTCACCAGACATCTTGTCGGCTTTTTCTTCTTCATCTCCAATCGATGCATTTGTCTTCTCCTAGCGTTGTTGTCATCCAAGTGTTACTATCAGATACATCTTTTTCATCCCCCCCTCTCACCCATTTTGCAACCTACCTCCTCCCCTAGTCTGCATCCGAAACCTCCCCCTATTCTGAAACCCATCTCCCCCAATTATGAAACCCCCCCTCCAAAATTCTGAAAACTCCCTCAGTTTTTTATATAATAAAATATTTACATTTAGATCCTATGAAATATTAATGTAAATATTTGAAAAAAATTTAGATTTATGAGACATATATTGTGTAATTAATTTTTGTTATTTAAAGTGGATGGGTGTTAAAGTTAGTCAAAATAATTAACTAAAATATAGAGCGTGGTTAGAGTAAACTTGTAAAAGTGACAAACTAAAATAGAAAATACAATATTTAAATATATTTTAACTAACCATTTTGAAGTTGCTCTTATACATAACAAACCAAGCTTTGCAAGCTCAAGTCCAAAAAGAGTCGAAACAAGCTTAAAAAATTGTTCAAGTACAAAACAAGCCAAATTCAAGTCGAACTCGAGTAGCTCGAATCATTTACCACCCCTACCAGTAGCAGCTTGAAATGACCCACACCATAAACCCAAAGACTATGGTATACTATTATTTGAGGATATGGAACCTCGTAGTTCTTGTACAATGCCATATCTGCTAAGTGGCTCTAGAGATAATATCACCAAAGATGGACCATGGAAGCTCTGGTACAAGAATACATAACAGTCATTAGAGCAACAAATAATAGGAACCAGTTACTTCAACTGCGTGGAGGTCCTACGCTGCCGATTTGAACTTTTGACTCCTGTTCACAAAATCCAGGTAGCCCTGCCAAAGATTAACATATCACGAGCCTCAAAGTGGTGAACTTAAGATTCTAAATGACGGTTTTAAAACTAAGCAGACCAGATTAAATTCAAAATTAAGTTTAAAAATTGGATGTCTCATCCAATTATATTCAATATTGTGCAAGAAATGTTCAAGAAAAGTTTTCCAGAATACTAAACTTATTGTGATCACTCAAAATAAAAATAAAAAATTGCCAAACCTATCAAAATCTAATTAATAAACCCTCCACTAGCAATTCAAACTCCAACTTCATAGGAAAGGTAGTTGCTTGGACATTTGGATTGCATCACTCAGGATATTGCGTTGGACATATGATTTCAAGGGCATATAAGAATTTTAAACGGTAATTAAAACATCCTAATCTGTGGCCAAAAAACATCATAAACAGAATTGGCAATTGGCATTGAACTGCCCCTTAACCATAACTACGGATTTATTTCTGTATCAACTTTTTCTCCAAAGGAATTCTCAAGATTATTAAAACAAAGCCAACAGAAACTTTTATCAAATCTACAGAGAAACATTAGTTATTACCTGGAGTATCCCAACAGCAGCAAATTTGTCTATTATCGTCTTTGACTGTACTGGGCGCAAATTCAAAGGCTTCAATAATAATTCCACATTCTGTGAAGGATCACTAGCACAATAATCATCGGCCAATGATGTCACCATTATCAATAAAACGAATACAAATGGAGAAGATCATGTTTGTTAAATCATTAAGAAGACACTGAGCCACTAAATGAGAATTTGCTCAGGCATTAGTCTTCATAAATGGCTGCATTCAGCTTTGGTAGAATCAGGGGTAGGCCTACATATGTATTATTATAGTCCTTTTCATTTTATGTATGCACAAAACAACAAAAGTTACACATGCATATAGAATAAATTTCATTGGGCAATTTTAGTCCTATATTCCCAGGCGGTAGGCATTAACTGATTATTTGCAGCTAAATGATTCTAAGAAGCGTGATTTACCCAAATCGAACTTGTTTTCCCTTATTAGCTAGAAACACCCACCTTTGATGTGAAGCACTCGTCCCAAAAAGTGTAACTTAAGCCTTCAAGCTTTCCCGTCTTACAAAGATCATCAACGAATAGTTTCACTTGAACAGCCTAACAAAGGAGGAGAAAGAAAATTGTGACTTGAAAGTAAATGTCAGACTAGAGTGAAGACTTATGAGATGAACCCGCACATCTGGACTGCTTCTTTGTCTATCAAAAGGGTACCCAAAAATGAAGCCCACCAAAGAAAGTTCAGAGATCTGCATTCAAACACAAGACTTGGATTTTACTAAGATAATCTCTGAAAAGACGAAATACCTACTGCAGAAATAACTTTGATACTTAAAGCTATAAAATGGGAAGATAACTAGAGCTAACAAACTCACCAAACTTTGAAAATCACCGACCATCATGTCGATATTTGTTTTCTTCCGAAGCAGAACACTACAATGTGGAGAACCAACCACATAATTCCGTGGATAGAATCACCATAAACAAAGTATCTACAAATGATGGGCATTTTGTGCAAGGAAAAGAAAAAGGGAAAATGTTGACTAGCCAATGAAAAGTGAAAANAAACTCGAGTAGCTCGAATCATTTACCACCCCTACCAGTAGCAGCTTGAAATGACCCACACCATAAACCCAAAGACTATGGTATACTATTATTTGAGGATATGGAACCTCGTAGTTCTTGTACAATGCCATATCTGCTAAGTGGCTCTAGAGATAATATCACCAAAGATGGACCATGGAAGCTCTGGTACAAGAATACATAACAGTCATTAGAGCAACAAATAATAGGAACCAGTTACTTCAACTGCGTGGAGGTCCTACGCTGCCGATTTGAACTTTTGACTCCTGTTCACAAAATCCAGGTAGCCCTGCCAAAGATTAACATATCACGAGCCTCAAAGTGGTGAACTTAAGATTCTAAATGACGGTTTTAAAACTAAGCAGACCAGATTAAATTCAAAATTAAGTTTAAAAATTGGATGTCTCATCCAATTATATTCAATATTGTGCAAGAAATGTTCAAGAAAAGTTTTCCAGAATACTAAACTTATTGTGATCACTCAAAATAAAAATAAAAAATTGCCAAACCTATCAAAATCTAATTAATAAACCCTCCACTAGCAATTCAAACTCCAACTTCATAGGAAAGGTAGTTGCTTGGACATTTGGATTGTATCACTCAGGATATTGCGTTGGACATATGATTTCAAGGGCATATAAGAATTTTAAACGGTAATTAAAACATCCTAATCTGTGGCCAAAAAACATCATAAACAGAATTGGCAAATGGCATTGAACTGCCCCTTAACCATAACTACGGATTTATTTCTGTATCAACTTTTTCTCCGATTCTTAAAACAAAGCCAACAGAAACTTTTATCAAATCTACAGAGAAACATTAGTTATTACCTGGAGTATCCCAACAGCAGCAAATTTGTCTATTATCGTCTTCGACTGTACTGGGCGCAAATTCAAAGGCTTCAATAATAATTCCACATTCTGTGAAGGATCACTAGCACAATAATCATCGGCCAATGATGTCACCATTATCAATAAAACGAATACAAATGGAGAAGATCATGTTTGTTAAATCATTAAGAAGACACTGAGCCACTAAATGAGAATTTGCTCAGGCATTAGTCTTCATAAATGGCTGCATTCAGCTTTGGTAGAATCAGGGGTAGGCCTACATATGTATTATTATAGTCCTTTTCATTTTATGTATGCACAAAACAACAAAAGTTGCACATGCATATAGAATAAATTTCATTGGGCAATTTTAGTCCTATATTCCCAGGCGGTAGGCATTAACTGATTATTTGCAGCTAAATGATTCTAAGAAGCGTGATTTACCCAAATCGAACTTGTTTTCCCTTATTAGCTAGAAACACCCACCTTTGATGTGAAGCACTCGTCCCAAAAAGTGTAACTTAAGCCTTCAAGCTTTCCCGTCTTACAAAGATCATCAACGAATAGTTTCACTTGAACAGCCTAACAAAGGAGGAGAAAGAAAATTGTGACTTGAAAGTAAATGTCAGACTAGAGTGAAGACTTATGAGATGAACCCGCACATCTGGACTGCTTCTTTGTCTATCAAAAGGGTACCCAAAAATGAAGCCCACCAAAGAAAGTTCAGAGATCTGCATTCAAACACAAGACTTGGATTTTACTAAGATAATCTCTGAAAAGACGAAATACCTACTGCAGAAATAACTTTGATACTTAAAGCTATAAAATGGGAAGATAACTAGAGCTAACAAACTCACCAAACTTTGAAAATCACCGACCATCATGTCGATATTTGTTTTCTTCCGAAGCAGAACACTACAATGTGGAGAACCAACCACATAATTCCGTGGATAGAATCACCATAAACAAAGTATCTACAAATGATGGGCATTTTGTGCAAGGAAAAGAAAAAGGGAAAATGTTGACTAGCCAATGAAAAGTGAAAACCCAAACAAAAACTTCACTAAACAGTATGCGTGTATATATGCAAGAAAGGCTGAATGATACCTTAGAGGCGAAACAATGTGATTTTGAGGATCCGAAACAGCTAAGCCAACATACTTATGACCGACATCCAATCCAAGTAATCGTCCTCGTGGTTGCAGGGTGTTGGACTTGAGCAAATCATGGAATAAGTTCATTGGCTTCATGTACTTCATCTTCTATCTGTATCAATCATATTATTCTTTGACAAAATTCATATTGCTAAGGCCATTTTCACATAATAAGATGCAAAATTAAAGTAACATCGTAATTCTGCCAAACATTTCCACAAACACTAGGAGAGCTGAACTCTTCATATTGCTACTGCCAAACATTTCCACAAATAATAATTACGCTATAGCTATACACATAACATGCTTTATGTACAGATAAAACACCGAAAATATCAAACTTGTACACAATTCATTCAGGAAAGTATAAGCATCAAAAACCCAAAATTAAAGAACTTGGTTAATGCATTGGATTGTAGTTTCTACACAATCGGAGCATCAAAATTGAACTTTCAATTAAATCAAATCATACTACTAACTCGAAATTATTCCAAACAATGGGAATGCTACTGGAGCATTACCACCGAGATCAAGCACTCAAAAACCTGAAATACAGAGACTATAAAACTACAAGACACTGAATGAACAACAAAAATGGGGTTCCACCTGAACATAGCGATGATTAAACAGAGACAAGTTATAGTGCAACATCCTATTTTCATAGCAAGGGGAAGAAGTACCATCGTGAGGTGAGATAGATGAGACAAAATTACCTGGTGGCTTGTGGACAACGGACGGCCTTGCAAGGTTCAACGGCGAGTAGAGAGATGAGTGGCCTCGGGGAGGGGGAGAGAGAGAGAGAGGGAGAGACAGGCTACTGTGAGACGCAGAGAAGATATCGTGTGAAAGGCAGAGGAGGGAGTGAAGTGTATTCTTTTAGGGCTAACAATTGAGAAATTTATAGTAGGCGAAGAGACCCACCGGTTTGTCCTGAACCTCCCGGCTCATGTGTGTTAATAAAAACCAGGCGGGATACGGGTAAATGACGGGCTTTATACATAAAACGGTTTGAATATCAATCCAGTCCAGCAGGTATAGGCCCGGTTTTCCGGTAGACACACTGAGCCGGACTGGTTTTAATAACACTGTCCGCAACAAGGCACTATGACTAAGTGCAGTTTGGGCCGGCTCATACACTACCAAGCAATATGACATTAAGTATAGTTTGGGCTATTAACGCAATCATTTGGTCTAATTATCTTCAAATATACGACACGATTCAACTCCATTCATACACAACTAGTTCAACTCAATTCATACACAACTAGACTAGACGGTTGAGCTATACTAAGAGGTAATAGATTACTCAAGCTTGTTTTTCCATATAAATTTTGGAATATAGCCACATCCTTATGGCACTCTCCCGGTGGTATCCTACCATTCCCATTTCAGGATTGGTTAGGATTCCCGGATAGATTATTAATCACTTGTTATAATATGGATATAGTGCGAGGCATGTTCGAGAATGGATTCTTCATCACACAAGCCAATCTCGAACAAGCCGGGTCGATCTTGAGCTAGAGACTCTAAATAACTTGGGTTCATTTTACAACCCCAAAAAATACAAGCTCAGCATCCCCCCCCCCCCCCCCCCCCCCCCCC